CGGGCGCTTAGGGTCTCATCAAACCACTAGCTTTACCTTCTCCGGCACGGCATTCCATATGATACCGAGCCGCGTTCTTTCTGGCCCCAACAGGCAGGAGTTCTCCACAGGAATCCCGCCAACGGCCCGTCGAACAAGCGACCGTAGTTCCCCACCGTAGAGGGCCACCCTTGGATTAGATCCCACGGCTACCTTTCTCACAACCGTTTCAGAGGCGTCGTTCACCACGACAAGGTTTCCCTCTTCTTCCGTGCCTACTATCCGGATACCCCCCTTTTTCTTCGACTTTTTCTCCTTTTCCTTCTTCTTCTCTTTCTGCACCACAACAGCCACCGCGCTGTTCTCTTTCCCCGTCACTGCTACCTCTTCATCAACGTCCACTGTGACGGCCTTGTCTCCTCCATCCTTCACTCGGCCGCCACTCGAGTCATCCACTTGACCAGAGGAAGGAGTGACTCGTTCTTCCCCTCCCTCACGCTCCCGTCATTGACGAGACGCTTCGGCCGTCGACGCCTTCAGAGTCGTGGCCAATCCCTTCAGAGTAGCGATCTCGGGACACTGAGAGACACTATGACCGATCTGGTGGCAGTAGAAACACCGCATCGTCGAGTTTCCTCCTCCGTTTCCACCGCTAGGCGGGCCACGGGCCCCGGTATACGGCATCTCACACTCTGCCACAATATGACCGTACTGGTTACACCGTCGGTAAGTCATCGTTTGGCGCAAACACGTCACGCGAGTGTGACCCTTGTAGTCGCATCGGCCACAGACAGGTTCTCCTTCTTGCGTGTGGGAATCCTCCGCCATCTTGATGCCTCGACGGGCACGATTACCTCCGAACGGACCAGCTCCACCAGCGGGAGGGAGCTGTCCGTGGCCTCCGGAGCTCGGCACCACCGCCGATACAGTAGGCACCGCAGCCGGCGGCACGGACTGCAAATCTTCCATCACCTGGTGTTGCCACTCTTGCTGCTGTAACAGGAAGTCGTCCAGCTTCTGGGTTAGAGCGTTCACAGTCGCCGAGTGACTATCAGTCCTCGCCCGCGACTCGTCAGGAAATTCGTCGTCTTCCTCCACAGGACGATGCATGTCCTTAAACATTAGCCACTCGCACGCCTCCGGAATATCTCGAGCCGGGCTTGAATCTAGAGCAGCCAGCATCCTCTTGTTCTTCAGGCCACGACGGAACAACTGATACCGCATCTGAGGGTTCGGATAGTCGAGGGAGTCGCACAGATCCGTGACTCGGTCTCCCCATTCCTCCACAGACTCGCCACGTTCACGCTTAGTGGAGTACAGTCTCTCCCAGAGCTCGTCAGCCGTCCTGCTGAGGAACCGGTTGTGGAAACGCACCTTCAGCGTCGCGAACGACTTGATGCTGGAGTTGCTCCACCATCTTTCGGCCTCACGTCCCTTCAGCTTCTGTCGGAAAACCAACAGACGCTTTCTGTCTGGCAACCGGTCAGTGTGGTCCTCGAACAGCTCCCAGAAGTCGCGCGCCTTCTCCACCGTAGCCGTGTCCGAGTAGAACATCGGCAGCACCTTCATCACAGTCGACATCTTCGTGGTCCAGTCTTCACGCCTCGGCAGGCGTGACGGCCCAGGCAGGGCCCGGACCGGTGGTCGAACACCAGCACGCGGAGGGGCCTGCGGACCTCGCGGCACCACTGCCGAACGCGGCGGAACGCCCGGGGCGCTCCCTACTAGTCCCGACCAAGCAGGGCGCGGACCAGTCCTACGTATTCCAGGCGGAGCAGGATGCGTCCGGGTCGCCGCGTTATTCTGACCTCCCGTAGCAGCAGTAGCCGTCCGAGCAGTACCCGTCCCAGGCACGCTCGGTCCCGTGGTTCTGTAAGGGGCCACCGGATTGGCAGCGATCGTCTTCTTAACAGCGACAGGCGGAGCCTCGTAAGGCTGTTGGGGCACGGACGCCGTGTACGCGAACACCGTGTTGTCCGAGGGTGCGAACCCCTTGGACGTCCAGCTCCAGTCAAACGCCGGCCGGTCCCAGCGGCGCTCCTCGGTTCCAGTGTACTGCGGAATGAATCCACTGGGGCTCTTCTTCTTGGCCGGTTCCCAATTCTCGACGGAAGGCTCGTCCTCCTCGTACTGGCCGAACACTTCCCAGCTGCCGTGCTCATAGGCAAGTTGGTAGTCGTCCCCAAGAGGAACGCCCTCCTCTACCAGGGGTACCTCATCCGGGTCCGGCGACACCGCCTCCGTACCGGGCGCCGGCTCCGTTTTCACCTCTCCTTCTACCTTGACCGCGTCTTTGACGCCACCCGTCATCTCCAACCGGCCTTCTCTAGCCGCCCGTAGCTCGTCGCGCGTGCTCTTACGTAGAGCGTCCCGATCAGCAGCGGTTGTCACTCCCACAGGAGCCTTCTCTTCATCATCTTCATCTTTTACATCCTCCGTCTGAGAGTCTCCCAGACTCTGTTCTTCTTCAGCCGCCTCTCTGGCAGCGGACCGCCTCAGGTCCTCTTCATAGTCGTCTTCCACGTATACCGACATGACACTCTTCTCCAATGCTTCCCTCGTCAAACTCTTGTTCCCTATACTACCTTATGCGCCCCTGGGCTCGATACCAGGAATTCCGCGCCGAATAAACTCCAAACTTCACACTCCCTTATGCGCCCCTGGGCTCTATACCAAGAATTCCGCGCCGAATAAACTCCAAACTTCACACTCCCTTATGCGCCCCTGGGCTCTATACCAGGAATTCCGCGCCGAAAATCACACTCCAGTCCCTATGCGTCCGGGCTCGATACCAGACCTCCTTGCACTACGGGATCACACTCCACGACGTCTCCGACGGTTCTTCTTCACAACGAAGACCAATACCCTGCTTCTCCACCACGTGTCGCGAGCCGTCCTTGGATGGGACGGTCGACGCTGTATAGAAGTAGAACAGTACGGAGATATAAACAGAAGCAACAAGCTAAAGACAAATGTCAACACAAATTACTTTCTGCTTGTTGTCTCCAAGGAAAATTCACGACTGACCTCTTACCTTCTTCCATGCGACTCGCACCTCGTCCTCCACGGTCCTCGTTCCCGCCGTCAGGCATCGTTTCGCAATCATCGTCCACGATTTTGTACACCACGACAGCGAGGCGGTACCGCTCACCCCACCGCCTCACCGCTAAGATACACTGTCCTTCAGTAGCTCCGGTCCCCCCATGACTTCCGTCCTCGTCATCCACGGGGACCGTACGCTCTAGCCGCGCTTGTCTCACGGAGACCGAGGCCGGCCCACAACTTCTCAGTGACTCCGTCGTGACCCTGCATGGCTTCATCGAAAGCGTGGCCCACACGAATCTGGTCGGCCGTCGAAAAGTGCGGAGGAGGGTAACGGAACTCACCGTGCCCAAGACGGTGGCCGCCAGAACCACTCGTGACAAGAGCGGCCCTCTTGAGCGATGGAGGCCCATTTTTTCGAACATGAAACACCAGGTCCTTAAAAATTTCGTGAGACAGATGAATCAGAAATACAAACGGTTTACTGGTATTTATAGTTGTCTGTATGTGAGTTAGAAGCAATAACGATAAATGATTGGGCAAATCGAGCAATTGACAAGCTGCAAACATGTTGAGCAGTGCAAAATGTTTTTTTTGCCCCAGCGAGATGAACGAGTTCGATCCGTACGGCATCTCGTACCCTTCCGTGTACGAAGGCCGCGATCTTTACGTCAGTGCAAGTGAGTACGGCAACTCCATTCGCTGTATCAATCACACCGCCACCCCCAATGCTCGCTTTGTGCCTATGGTACGTACTTTATGGGCACGATATTCGGCGCGTTTAGTATTTAGGTAAAGTTTATTGGCGTTTACTGTACTGCCGTTTGTGTCAAGAAAGAAAACCAGATCTTCGTAGATTTTACCGGTTTTGACTGTCGATTTAGATTTTCATCTTTACACCAGAAGATAACACGAAAGATTGCTTTACGATTTTACCGAGATTCAGCTGTGAGAGCTCGCCGAAATGTCGTTGTGTGTTTCCATGACCTTGGTACGTAAATGTTCTTGCTGGTTCTAACATAATTGTCATTACTCAACTGGACTCCAAGTACTCAAGTCGATCCAACCACGCTTCGCTTTCCCGGTTACCATGAAGTTTTCTACTGCTTTGATCGCGGTTGCGCTTGTTTACTTGCTGTCTTTAGTGACAGCCGACCACTTAATGGCGGCCGATAAGGACGATCAACCCATGACTACGCCGTCTGGACTGCACGGTGGGGTCATCACCAATACGATCAACGCCAAGAACAACAACATCCTCGTGAAGAACAGCAGGATCGTTTTTTCCAAGGCCGACCGCGTGCAGCTTGCGAAGAAAATCAAGGAGATGATGGCGAAGAGTCCGGAGGCGGGACCGGCAAGTGCGATGACGACCGAGGACCTCTTTGGTTTCCTGTCGGGTCTCGCGTCAAACCCTGCGGTACTCTCCAATGCTGCAGATATTATTTCGTCGGCGGCTAGCGGTAACACTCCAGCGTTGGCTGGTCACGTGGTGGGTCTGTTGGGCGCAGCACTGCCGCCTGCTACTCCGGCACCCGATGTGGAAACCCCCGCCCCTGTTGCGCCAGCGACCCCAATGTACGCGGTTCCTACTGCTGCCGCGTCCCCTGAGCTTCCGTCCACGTCGGCGTAAATATTGGGTTCAGTAGCTCAATCATTACCAGCGTGGATGTCCAAGACTGGAGACGAAAGCCTTCCGAGTGAAGCCAATATGCGTCCAATTATATTCTGCTAAGAATCACAATGATCCTTTTCCTTATGCTTTTTTGTTGTTGAATGTTCTTTTAGTATTTTATTTTGTATCATACCCTCTCATTTTAATTCGGTTAGAGGTATAGCAAGAGATACTTAGTAGTAAAAGTCAGATCGGGTTATGTACATTCATGCTCTCCTAGAGCACGCAATATCGATCTTGAAATCGTTGTGTCCACAGAAGACCTGTCACCACCGTAATAACACATTCGATCTAGCTTAGGCTAATTTTTTAAGCTGAAACCTAAGACTAGGTACCTAGCGCAGCCTCATGTGGTCTGCAACAACAACAACTATAAAACATTTCGCTTACATTGAGGAACTAGTACAGCCACGCCTTGTTGAGATGGTCCTGGAAGTGTTCATCACTGAACGGAACCTTGGCCTTTCCGAAATTCTTCTTGTCGTTTAAAGCTGCACGAGCTGCGTCTGTGAGTTGCTCCCACATGATCAAGTCCTGGTACTCGCCATCCATGCTGGCGAGGTTCAAATATGGAGAGGAGAAAAGAAACATCTCATAATCGAGGTGTTGGAGCCGAAAATGTACGTGGGGTTATATCGTGGGCCAAATTTTCCATACCCAACAAAATTGGATGGCCACAACCTGGTTTCTTTGGAGTATTCCGTGTTTGACTTGGACATGGAGACTCCTATAATTTTAGGCGTTTCGAACTTGGGATTGTCAATCCACACGACAAAGTCCGTCCAATCATGGCGTCTCCAGGGCAATAGTCCCCAGAAGCCTTTAGGAAAGTACCAAGCGTACATTATGGCCCAAAGACCGTTGTGCCACCCAGCTCGACCATAAACCTGAGAGCCTAGAGGAGCATACATGCACGCATCGTTTTTATTCGTCCCTTTGAGGCCACCAGTGACGCCACCGTCTGCGTTTACGGCAGGATACGGCACGCAAATGGGTCCCGAAGGCATGAGTTGAGGCTTGAACTTGATAGCAGCTTTTTCAGAGATGGTGACTGGTTTGGGTTGAGGAAAAGGTTCGACCTTGTCGTGATTGACGGTTGCACTAGTGAAAACAACCAGGCTGGCGAAGAGTGTCGTGACAAGAGTTTGTAGGTTCATCTTCATCGGGGAAATCAGAGAATGAGCAAGCGGCTTGAAGTGACTGGATTAATCCGTGCAAGCAAAGCCAGTCTCTTCTCTCCGAAAAGAGCGGGAAGCTCTTAGAGAGTTTTATAACAATTGAAACCCTTCACTTTGTCGTCAAGACGGTTGTCATCACAACTAGCGTGACTCCTTTGGAGAGCTGGCATCACAGCTGTCGTGACAATGCAAAGAGAGCGTAATCATTTACTTATTTTTGAATCACGTGTTCGCAGCTACAGCATTAATAAAGCTAGGTGCTCAGGACAAATACAGTTGTATACAGTTGTATTTGTCCTGAGCACCTAGCTTTAATTGTACTTCGTGAAGTACGATTTTTCCCGCACGTAAAAATCTCATATTAGAGACAAATATCGATGACACTAACTGGTGGTCACACAATATGCGTTCAGCCTATCTTCTAACCGTTTATTTTAGTTTTTAAAGCGTCATCCGAGCCTTTAATTAACGTCTGCTGTGTTTTAACCCATCTGTTTCGCTTGGACACCAATGCTGCGACCATTTGAGTCCCATAGCTGCGGTTTATTACTAACCTTTGGCTTGGACGGTATTGTTCTTTCGTCCGTAAAATCTGACGACACATCTGTCGGGCATTGCTGAACTGTGTATTGGAAATCATGCACGATTCGCTGCCGTTGTTTTATCCAGTCGCATAAGATATCCATGTCATCGTAAGCGTTCTGAGTAACACAAAGAGTGTCGCCGTCATTTAACTGCTCGAGCGTTGATACTCGTTTTAGGCGCTTGACGTGACGCTTCCGACTGTTGCAATATCTTAAGGCAGATTCGGGAAATACTAGCTCCGTCACTTCTCGATAGATACTGACGACGTGGTCGATAGCAAACCTTGATCGAACACGATGCTCTAACTGAGCAAGCGAACTGAACGTAATATAAGTCGTTCCAAGCCGACGAAGACCATACAGGTAGACCGCACAGAGATACTTGGGCTCGCAATCACTTGAGGACACAAAATGGATAGTGCGCGGCTTGAATTGACCTAGATATGATGCGTTTTGAGCGGGTGGCTTGCTCGCTTTGTGATAATTTCTTTTCGGGCGTCGTCGCGTTGACCCTTTCAATCGAGCAGTCTCAACGAGGCGTTGGGCGTCCCGAAGTTGCTTGACTCTCCTTCGTGCAATCATTTGGCGCGTGATATGCTGTTGGAAGCTTGAGCGCTGAAATTTGGACCAAGGAACCCTGACACCTGGACTGTGGTTTTGTTCGGTTGGGATCTGCTGGTCCTTCTCGATCGTTGTCTGTGAGAGCCAGAGCTTACTTGGAGCTCCAAATCGCTGTTTCTTTTGGAGCTCCATCCTTTTCACGTGCAACGCGATTGCGTTTTTCGTTCGCTCGCTGATAACCTCAGTTGTGTTAGCTAAATTTGCTGTATGAGCTTCATCATTTGTCAGGTGAGCGTCAGGAATATTGGTGGATGCAGCTGGAGCTTCCTTGTTGACTTTTGATTCATCGTCCGTACAGCTCTGCCATTTCTGCTTACTCATCTCTTCGACGATGTTCTCTAGTAAGTTTTCTTCGTCGGCCTCGCCAATAATAACACTATTATCAGTAGCAGCGTTGGATGTGACTGGAGGGTCGATGGCATCAACAATTTCTTCATTTTTCGGCATTTCTTCCTCACTCGATCGACCTTCCGAGGGACATAAATACACGTTGATGTTGGTGGCACTTTCTTCAGTATTAGACTCCTTCCAACACACCAGAAACTCGTTCAGCTCATCTGCAAAGCTATCAAGCTCGTGAGCAAGTCCAGCTTTAAGGGGGCCAGACTCATCCGGCTCCTCTTCCTACACGTGTCCAACCCGTCAGGACATATAGCGGTCATATCAGTACAGCAAGGTCACATACCTGTGGCAGTTGGTGGTTCTTCTCGTTGTTTGAGTTCTCGGCATTGGTCACCTCTTCGTCGTCCACTAACTCACCTGATCTGAGGAGCAAAACACAAGTAAGCGCACCCCTAGAGCAAAAGGTGTCCACTTTAAACACACCTATTTTCTTCAGCCTCGAAACAAGCGAGTAAAGCAGCGCATTCACCCGCCATTTCTTCTAGTGAAGCAAGAGTATCCTGCTCACTGACATCCTCGTCACATTCATCCTTAAATTGTTGCGCATCTAGTCCACCGCACAGCGCGCCCAGCTCTTGTGTGCAGCTCTCCAAAGCGCCTGCCAAATCCACTGAGCGCCGTCCTGTTGGCATGACGCCGTGTCCGCCAGTTACTAAGACCTAAATACATCAAATTACCTCCAGAATTTAATACTGAAGCGACACACCTCTTTGACTTTATAGCTGAAGTAGACCACTCCAGTAGTACATCTTATGGAACCCGCCGCTTCGCCGCATTCATCTCTTGCTAAGCAGAAGGATCTTGCACCTTATCGTAGTGTCTAATGGAGCCGGACGTCGACGCCCGGCGCAGCTATCTGGCTGGGCTTCTGCGCGGTCTTTGGGTGCCTCGTAACACTCGCTTGAGCGATGATAAGGCCTCACAGCAGGCCTTAGCGCAGTTCCTCGATGATCAGCAGTGCAACGTGCTGCATGCTCGTCTGGCAAGCGGTAGTGACGACATCTGCTTGTCCAATACGTTGCAGGACGAGGAAGGCGGCAACAACGACGAAACTGCAGCTTTTCTTAAGCTGCACAAGGTGACGCCACTCACGCCGGAGAATATGAGCACGAGTGTGCAGCTCACATCGGCGCTACAGACGCCACTGCAGAGTCTCTACCAGACTGTGCACCAAGTGTATGCGCCACTATTACTGCGTGACGATGCACGGGCCGGTTTGTTGTCACAGAAGCTCAAAGACGTGTTGCTAGAGTTAGACGCCGGATTGGCTGGTACAGTCTTGCTCCAAGGAGGTAGCGACGCTAAGAAGCCCAAAACTACACCTAGCGACGGAGATGAAGGCCTTATGAGTATAGCAACTATGCGCGATGAGTTCGCGTACTGGGAAGCGATGCAGGACGACGCGAGACAAGCCAGAAGAGCCAAGAAGTTCAGTGCTGTCTTCGACACGGTACACCAGCGCTTCAGCGCTCCACTTGGCGATTTGAGCTTCGATGACATGGCTGATCTACTGGACGACGCCTCTAATGTAGCTGATGATCTGTGGCGTCTAGATCTGGCACGGGATCAGTTGTATCCACAGAAGAGAATGGAGCATCTACTCGGACTCGTCACCAACGCCATCAACGCTTTCGTTCTAGCCAAGGCGAAATCTTTAACAGGAACAGAGAAAGGGTCCGATGGGAATGTGTGGCAAGCGCAGTTCCATGCAGTCCACCATTTGTTACAACAAGGGGTAACATTGTGTGAGAAATGGCGTAACTCTATCGAGTCCTTAACTGGAACGTTATGGCCAGCACAAAGTGAACATCCATGGGACGGATCGGTATCCTCTCAAGCACAGCGCGTTCAATTGCTAAGTACTCGGCTGGAGCAAGTGCTTCGAGTACGAACGACATACGAGGAGCTCAGTGTCTTGCTACCATCCAGAGGGGGCGAAAACGAGCTAGCAGAGTCGTGTTTCCGTCCATTTGAGCGGCTACGTCCACTGTACTACAACGCGTACACTGAGCCAGCGTGGCAACGAGCATTAAGCGAGTTTGACCGCTCTTTGGCGCCTATGGAGACTCAAGTGGCCGTGGTGTTACGTGAACGTCTTCGTGCTGTAACGTCCAAGCCCAGTGCTGCTGCACGCTTGTTACAACGCTATCATCATCTCCTACAGCGTCCTACCTTAGCACAAGCTCTTGCTGGCGAGCGTGACGCTCTTCTAGCTCAGCTTTTGGCGCATGTAGACCAACTAGACAGTGACTTTGAGACGCGAAAGCAGAATCTTGGCTCCAGTATTGGAGCGAGAGACAAGAGCGGCATGCATGTCGGCAAGACGTTGAGTAGCGACGTCAACGTCATCGTCTGGGCACACGCGCTGGGTCGACGCGTAGCAGACATGCAACGTCTAGTACGTGGAGTCTTAACAGACTTACCAGCACTTCCTCGGTTATCCCAGCAGTGTGATAAACTCGCAGCTAAAGCCAGTGGACTGGTACTTGATCGTGTACGTGACTGGCAGGAATCAATGTTACGAGCTCTAGATGACGACGACGACAGCAACGGAAGCCAATCTCTACGTCTTCGAGGCAGACTCATGCAGATCGACAAGCAAAGTGGCGATCTGGTCGTGAACTTCAGTGAATTTCTTGTAACATTGTTACGTGACGTCCGTCAACTTACAGAACTATCCTCGCAACAAGCAGCTGCAAGCGAGGCTTGGGTCCCAACACGTGTACGTCAAGTAGCCGAGGAAGCAGAGAAATACTACCGCTTTGGTGTAACATTGCAGAAAGTGGCCAACTTTTACAACAGCATCGAGGCGCAGATTATCGACGAACAGAAGCCGATGCTGCTCGACTCTTTGCTTGCGTTTGAAGACGCAGTCCAGCGACCCGGTATCGCGCAAAGTCAGAACCAGAAAACCGAGAGTAAAGACGTCACGTGGGCCAATCTAGACGAATGTGACGAGTACGTGAGTCAACTCCAGACCGTCTCGCAGCCAAGAATCGACGCTTTAAACGCGCTCATGAGAAACTCGGCGAGGAGCTGCTAGCTCTCATGGATGTGGATTTACTTCGATACCCGCAGAAGTGGAAAGAACGTTGGGACGAGATTAAAAAGAACGCGCAGTTGACAACACGGAAACAGGACTCTGCACGTACAGCCAAGTGGTTTCTGTACTGGGACCATCAGCTGTATAAAGTGTTGGAATCGGGCTACCAACTCGGGTTAGAAATGCTCAACGAGAACCTTCCCGAGATTAAGGAGATCAAAACCGAACTGCACTTCCCCACCGCGATGGCCGCATCGGCTTCTGGAGGCTCTACGCTAGTGCTAAAGCCTCCGATTGAAGAGCTACGCACGACGTACTACAAGGCGATGAAGAAGTTTGTGGCGAGACCCACAAAGTTCGGTGGCTTTGCCAACTCGCACGTGTTCTCGGCCATGTGTGACGCCAACGCACGCAATCTTGTGCGTGTGTACGAGGCATGTGAGCGGTTATTCACACGGTTAGAAACGCTGTTATATGAGTACGAGCATTGGGGTTTTCTAGCTCGTATCGGAGGCGGGGGGAGTGTCGACTTGGACGCAGTAATGGAGACAACACTGCAAGAGCCAACGGACTGGGAGATCAACTTCAAGACGATCCGAACGAAGCGCAAAGAGAGCGAGAAGATCCCGGACTCGGTCAAAGTCGACTGTATCCACTTGTCCTTTGTGCCGTTTAAACGCTCACTCGATGAACTGATACAGAGGTTCACAGACGCGTTACTGTTATCGTTACGGAAGAGTACACTAAACCACATCCGGATCGTGGAAGACTTCGTGGATGCGTCTATGGAGAGCTTGAATAAGCGTCCCCATTCTATTGATGAGATTAGCGCAGCTCAGTTAGAGTGGAAGGACATCGACGCGCGTAAAACTGACGTGCAGACTCAGTACCAGAAGGCAGAGAAGAAGAAAGCGCTGCTTCTCGCTGTGCTGGGAGGCGGCAGTAGCGCCGGTATGAGTGGCGCGAGTCTCGATACGAGTGAAGTCGAGACGCGTCTGTCGCAACTCCCAACACGTTGGGAGAACTTTGAGATCGCTCTGGAAGCCTTTAACGACATGATCGAGGAACAGCGCGAGAGTCTCAAAGGCGAGATCGAAACGCACGTGGTGGAATGTAACGTTGAGATCGATAAACTACGCGAACAATGGCGTGCCAAGCGGCCAGTGGAGGTGTCATCATGGGAAGATGAAGTGCTGGCTAAAGTGTACACAGCGATGACGGAGTGGCGTCAACGGATGGACGAATTAAAGACACGATGTCTGACTTTAACCTCGAACTGTGCCGCGTTCGCCATAAATGAACCGGTGTTCGACGGCCTTGCAGCGTTGGATGATGACATCACGAAGCTGCAGCGTAATTGGGACACGTATCGTCAGTTCCGAGAGGAAGTTGAGACTCTGGCCGCTCAAGACTGGTTCGCCTTCTGTACTAATATGTTCGCACTCGCTGATACGGCTCAGAAATGGGCTGATGCAGTCAAAGAGCAAGCAGCTCAAGGCTCCGAACGTACGCCGGTAGTGGACAAGATTGTGGACTTTAATACGAACGTCAAGAGAGCCATGCCCACGCTCAAATTATGTCGTGGAGAACCTTTCAAAGATGATCACTGGACTCAGCTCTTCCGGAAACTCGGGTTCCCACGCACAGTGGAGAAGAACAACTTGATCGTCCAGCACTTTATCGACGTGTTCCCTGTACTTGAACTGCCTGCTACTCTGCAGTTCGTGAAGGTGCTTCATGCTCGAGCTCAAGGCGAAGTGACGATCAGAGACGCGTTACAGGAACTTCGAGCTTGGACCGAGACGGCGGAGCTCGCTCTACTCACCCACGAGCACGATGGACGACGTGTGGCTATCATTAAAGACTGGAAGGACTTGACCTTGGCTCTGGGGGATAACCAGTCGCTACTGGCTTCACTGAAGGAGTCGCAATTCTTCAAGCCATTTGAGGTCGAAGCGAGTCAATACGAGATCAAAATGAGTACATTGGATCAAGTATTGACTCATTTAAACATTATTCAACGGAAATGGGTCTTTCTGGAACCCATTTTTTCCAAAGGAGCTTTACCTTCGGAACAGAGTCGCTTCCGTCGAGTGGATGAGGAATTTACCGACATTATGGGATCTGTCGAACGAGAGCCGAAGCTCTTTAACTTGGCGGATGAATTGATGTTCCCTCAGTTAGTAGAACGTCTGACGACGATGGTTGATCAACTGGAGCGTTGTCAGAAGGCGTTGGCGGATTTCTTGGAGGAGAAACGCTCTCGAATGCCTCGTTTCTACTTCATTGGAGACGAAGATCTGCTGGAAATTCTAGGACAAGCTCAGAACCCAGCGGTGATCCAGAGTCATCTGAAAAAACTCTATCAAGGCGTGTATCGTGTCGAGTTTTCCGAAAAACAAGACCAGATTGTAGCTATGTTGAGTGCTGCAGGTGAGCGTGTGGAGCTGCACTCACCTGTCGCTGTCACGAGTAATGTGGAGGAATGGCTCGAGACGTTCACGGAAGAGATGCGTCGTACGATTCGAGCACTTGCAGCGCAATGTGTCAGCGCTAACGCTCCAGACTACCACACCTTCCCGTCTCAAGTATTGTGTCTAACCGAGCAGATCCGCTTCTGTTCTCAAGCTGAAGTTGCGATAAAAAATGGCGACATACAAGAACTTAAGCGGAATTTGCAAGATACGCTCCGAGAACTCACGTCGTTGGACTTAAGTACCGAGTTACTGATGAGTCTCAAGGTCAAGGCGTTGGTGCTTGATTTAGTGCACCATATCGACGTTTGTGACCAGCTTTTGGCGGCGAATTGTCGCTCAACTAGCGACTGGATCTGGCAGAAGCAGCTGCGTTTCTATCTGGACTCTAGGAAGTCCGGTAAAGACCCTCCGCCGTGTATAATCCGTATGAACGACGCGGAGTTCGCGTATACGTACGAGTACCAAGGCAATGCGCCAAAACTGGTACATACCCCGTTAACTGATAAGTGTTATTTAACACTTACACAAGGTATGCACATGGGGTTCGGTGGCAATCCCTACGGTCCTGCAGGTACCGGTAAAACCGAGTCGGTTAAGGCATTGGGCGGGCAATTTGGACGTCAAGTACTGGTATTTAACTGCGATGAAGGTATCGATTTCCAGTCGATGGGACGAATTTTTATCGGTTTAGTGAAATGTGGCGCCTGGGGCTGCTTTGATGAGTTCAATCGCCTGAAAGAAGACCAGCTTTCGGCTATTTCTCAACAGATTCAAGTGATTCAAGACGCGATCAAGGAGAAAACAGGCACGATTAACTTGTTAAATAGGTCGGTAGATGTGGATTTTAACGCGGGGATCTTCGTGACGCTCAATCCGGCTGGGAAAGGGTACGGTGGCCGATCGAAGCTTCCGGATAACCTCAAAGCGCTCTTCCGACCTGTTGCTATGGGTCGTCCGGATAACAACCTGATTGCAGAAGTTATCCTGTACTCCGAGGGGTTCAGTGAAGCCAAAGACATCGCGTCTAAGGTCGTTTCTTTATACTCTTTATCCGGCCAATTACTCTCGAGACAACAGCATTACGACTGGGGGTTACGAGCTTTAAAAGCTGTTTTAAACACGGCCGGGAAGCTCTTACAAGCTGAAAAGAAAGACCGCGCTACGTCTGGAAAATCCAGTGAAGACGAATCCAAATCGGCAGATAAACCAGTGAGGATGACGACAGCAGAGGAGACCGAGATCCTCATTAAAGCAGTACGTATCAACACGTTATCCAAGCTCACATTCGTCGACTCGACTCGGTTCTTAGCGTTGATTGGCGATGTTTTCCCTGGTGTTGAGTCTGCGGACTTAGCGGGAGGTGCATTGGGCGACGCTATCCGTGAAGTGATGACCAGCAAACCGTTCTACCTCCAAGTGGACGAGTTACAGATCCGTAAAATGCTTCAGCTGAAGGAATCACTTGATCAACGTATGGGGTGTGTAGTGGTGGGGCCGTCCGGTAGTGGCAAATCTACCGTGTGGCTCGTTCTACAACAAGCGTTGATCAAGTGTGGACAGCTTGTTAAAACTCACGTTATGAACCCCAAGTCCATGCCGCGTGAGCGTTTACTAGGCCACATGGATCTGGATACACGCGAATGGGAGGACGGCGTGCTCACTGCCGCCGCTAGACAAGTCGTGAAGGAGCCAGAGAACGTCCGTTCGTGGATTATCTGTGACGGGGATGTGGATCCAGAGTGGATCGAGTCGTTGAACTCGGTGTTAGACGACAATCATCTACTCACGTTACCGAATGGCGAGCGTATCAACTTTGGTCCGAACGTTAATTTCGTGTTCGAGACACACGATTTACGGTTCGCTTCCCCCGCTACAATCTCTCGAATGGAGATGATCTTTTTGTCGGACGAAGACATGGCGATCGAACGTCTTGTGAGTAAATGGCTACTCACTCTCCCGCCTGCTTCTGATCCTAGTAGTAGCAACACTAGAGACGCATTGAAACAGTGGATTGAGGAGTTGTTTACTCGAGGATTGGACGAGTTAAACAAGTACGAAGCGATCGTAGCGACGACGACAGTTGGGACGATTATGAACGGGTTAAGTCACGTCGCTACTGCTACAACCCGGTCGGAATTCGTCTGTGCAATGATCCGTGGACTGGGTGCTAACTTGGCCATGACATCACGTGCGTCGTTCGCGAAATCGCTCTTTATGATGGCGAATGAACGTCCACCCGATGTGAATAACCCGCTGGATTGTTACTGTCAAGGATCTACTTTTTACACGTACGAGACGAAGCGTGATACGTACGGAGCTATGGATGGCAAGATGGACCGTAAGGACCTCGCGGCTAACGGGATGGAGGCCGTTGTACCGACTGTGAGCGTTCAACGAGGACTTAAACTCATTGAACCGTGGGTCGACAAGATGGAGCCGTTCATCCTCGTCGGACCGGAAGGAAGTGGCAAGAACATGTTGATCCGTCAAGCGTTTAAGAGTCTTAAGAGCGTCACCGTCTCGGTTCTACACTGCAACGCACAGACTACCGCGGACCACGTTATCCACAAGATTGCGCAGTGTTGCTCCCTGTTTTCTACACCTACAGGTCGCGTGTATCGTCCGAGAGATGCGGAACGTCTTGTGCTGTATCTCAAGGATATCAACCTACCCAAACCAGACCAATACGACACGTGCATGTTGATTGCCTTCCTCCAACAATTGATCACATTCAACGGCTTCTTCGACCAGCATTTGGAATTCCTCGGAGTCGAGAAGATTCAACTTGTAGCGTCTATGAACGCAGCGACGACAGTAGGGAGACATCCGCTGTCCACCCGCTTCACGGCGATCGTCAAGGTGGCGTACATGGACTACCCGTCGACCGAAGAGTTGTCGGTAGTGTACTCTACCTTCCTAGAAGGCGTGTTCGACTCGTCCAACACGCCCAATCTACCCGCTACGTGGCGTGACTCCTCGAATCGTGATCGACTAGCGAAAAGTATAGTCGAAGTCTACGATACTGTGAAAACCAAGTTCTCAGTGGACGACCAACGTCACTACCTATTTACGCCCAGAGATCTAACGAAGTGGGTCTTTGCGCTTGTCCGGTACGATTTGGAACACGAAGATGTGCTCGATGCGCTGGCACATGAAGCTCGTCGTTTATTCCGCGATCGTCTGGTAGATAACGAAGCCCGAGCGAAGTTTGACGGTATTCTGAACACCGTTTGGAAGCAGCAATGGCGTCATGCTGCAAAGTTACAAGATGTGTACTTTAGTTCGTTACATTGTCGGTCTACTGAAGCTGGCATTGCTACAGTGACCGCAGCTCCGTTACAACGGATTGCGAGTGACGAGTTCTCTCAAGTGGTGACGCAAGGAATGGTCCTATACGAACGCGAAGAGAAGGATCTACACATGTTGTTGTTCGACGAGATCCTCGAACATTTGACGATCGTAGAGCGTGTTCTCTCGGAACCTGGAGGCTCCATGCTGCTAGTAGGCAACTCGGGGGTTGGTCGACGTTCTGCGACTACACTGATCTCGTATATGCTCAACTACAGTATGTTCTCGCCTAGTATTACTCGAAACTACGACGCCGGTAGTTTCCGTACGGACCTTAAGAGTTTGTTGGTCAAAGCGGGAGTGGAAGGACAGCACTACGTCTTGTACTTAGAGGACCATCACTTTACTCAAGACGCTATCTTGGAACTCACCAACTCGCTACTAAGCTCAGGTGAAGTGCCTGGATTGTACACACACGAGGAGATTGAGCCTCAGATCGCTCCTCTTAAAGAACTCATGCTGGAAAGTATCGGAGCGAGTGGACAGGAACATATCCGTACAGTGTACGACTTTTTCGTGTCCCGAGTGCGTCAGTTTGTGCATATTGTGCTGGGGATGGACGCTCGCAACCCGCAGTTTGTACTGCGATGTGAGAGTAACCCAGCACTCTACACTCGCTGTGCTATAGTCTGGATGGGGGAATGGCACTCCAGTAGCATGTCTCGTCTTCCAGAGTTGGTATTAAGCGGGTCCGAACTGGTTGACAGTCTGATCAAAACCACACCCTTAATAACGAGTCTGTACGCTAGTTGCAAGGAGTTCGGCGCTACTCCACGGGAATTTATCTGCTTCCTCGGCACGTGGCGAACCTTGTTTGAAGCCAAATGTAAGCAGATCGTACAGGAGATTCGACATCTGAAAAGTGGGCTAAGTAAACTGGAAGAAGCGAGTGTGACGGTGGATGAACTGAGTCGCAACGCTGTAGTAAAAAAGAAAGACTTGAGTGCTGCTCAAGTGGCAGCGGACGAAGCGATGAAGGAGATCACGAACGCTTTAGATCGTGCTGCTACTAATCGACGTGAGGTGGAAGATTTAAAGAAGCAGCTCGCAAAGGCGGAGACCGCGACGAATGCTCGTAAGCGAGAGATCGAACAGGAACTGAGCGAGATCACACCTATCCTACAGACTGCGATGGAGGCCGTGGGGAATATCAAGAGCGACAACCTGAACGAGATCCGATCCCTCAAGATGCCACCGGAACCTATCCATGATGTACTCTCCGCAGTGCTGATGCTGCTGGGGATCCAGGATACGTCGTGGAACTCCATGAAGAAGTTCCTAGGTAATCGAGGTGTCAAGGAGGATATCCTCAACTACGACGCTCATCGTATCACGCCCGAGATCTCGAAAGCCGTCACGAAGCTCGTGAAGAGTAAAACCTCGTCGTTTGATCACGAAACCATCTATCGTGTAAGTGTCGCTGCTGCACCGTTAGCTACGTGGGTGAAGGCCAATCTCAAGTATTCGATGGTACTTAACAAGATCGAACCGTTAGAAACCGACTTGGCAGAAGCCAAACGATCGCTCGAGGCCTCGCAACAACGGCTGCTACAGTGCGAAAGCGAGTTAAAGAAGATCGATCTCACTGTGGATCAGATGAAAGTGCAGTTCGGAGAGAAAACCAAAGAAGCAGAGATCTTACGAGTCAATCTGGAACAGGCTCAAAGTACCTTGAACAAAGCACAAGGCTTGCTTAGTAAGCTAGGAGGTGAGAAGCATCGCTGGTCAGAACAAGTCAAAGAGCTCGAGAACCGACTTACGGACTTACCTGTACGTATGTTACTGGCTGCAGCGTTCACGACTTTCCTTGGTAAATGCTCCGAAGACGCCCGTAAACGCGTCGTTAAAGCCTGGGAGCGTGATATACTGGAGACTCTCCATCCAACTGGCTCTGCTAGTAGTTTACATTTCGATTACCGCAAGTTACTGAGCACCGAAAGTGAACTGTTGACGTGGAAAAGTATGGGCCTTCCGTCGGATAATTTATCGATGGAGAACGCGTTGATTGTATCGAACTCTAGTGGAGAACGCTGTCCGTTTATCATTGATCCGGCAAGTGCTAGTACCGCTTGGCTGCAAGCGGAACTGGCGAAAGACACGACACGTCCGCTGTCGATTGTCCAGTCTCAAGACGCTCGATTCGTCAATCTAGTGGAACAATCTGTACGCTTTGGAAAGACTTTGGTGATCCTCGAAGTGGACAATGTGGAGCCGTATCTGTACCCATTAGTGCGTAAGGATCTGATCCATCAGGGGCCTCGCTTCGTCGTCGCATTAGGTGACAAGGTGATTGACTACAACGAGAACTTTCGACTGTATTTGGTGACTCGAAACCCGTCGCCTCCTCTTGCTCCCGACGCGCTGGCGATTGTCAACGTCGTCAACTTCACAGTCACCAAGTCTGGCTTGGAAGGACAGCTGCTTGGCGTCACTATTCAACATGAACAACCCGAACTGGAACAAGAGAAGAGCGAGTTACTACGACAAGAAGAAGACTGTAAGGTGCAACTGGCAGCTCTGGAGAAACAGCTCGTCGAGGCTCTTGCGACGTCGGAAGGAGATATCCTAGAAAACACTATGTTAGTGGAGTCTCTGACCAAGACCAAGGCCACGAGCGCTGAGATCGAGAACGCACTGGAGAGATCAGCCAAGAAGTCCGAGGAGCTGGACGAGAAACGAGACACGTATTCTCCATTCGCTCGTGAAGGCGCCAAGATGTTCTTCTTGGTCAAGCAACTGAGTGCTGTGAACCACATGTATCGCTTCTCGTTGGCTTCGTTCTTGGGGCTGTTTAAAGCCACGCTAGCGACCAAAATGGAGTCTGCCAGTACGAAAGACCGTATCTTACGGCTGATCCCTATTCTAGAGCACAAAGTGCTCATGTTTGTGGGTCGAGCGCTCTTCAAAGAGCACAGACCCATGTTCGGTCTGCACTTGGTACATGGGATGCATCCAGAGTGCTTTGAGAAGAACGAGTACGAGTTTTTCAGTGGCCAAGTAGTGGAAGGTGAACGAGGCTCAACAGGCCACTCGACGCTACCGGAATGGGCTTCTTCGGAGCGGAAAGAGGCGTTTACTCAATTCGTCGAAGCGCTGCCACGTTTGGCGCAGTTGTGTAAGTTTGAGAGTCACGATATGTGGATCCGATGGTCCAAATCCATGGAATGTGAGCAGAATTTCCATCCCAAAATGGACAAATCGGGGTCTGCGGGTGGCCTCTCTGCGTTCCAGAAGCTGCTGGTGGTCCAAGCTCTACGTCCGGATCGCTTACAGAGCGCTATTGTCCAGTTTATCTGCGGTGTGATGCAGCTCAAGTCGCTGACTCCTCCGTCACTTGACTTTAAGGTCATTGGGACGGAAGAAGCCACAAACACGACGCCGGTTCTTCTCCTTACGACGGCAGGTGCTGATCCTTCCAAGGAGTTGGAAGAAGTGGCGACGTCGGTCGTTGGAAAAGGTCACTACTTCGAGGTGGCTATGGGTGGTGGCCAACAGGAAAAAGCTCTGAATCTACTGAAATCTACTGCGGAACACGGCGAGTGGCTGTGTCTGCAGAACCTTCACTTGGTTATCGCGTGGCTTCCAGTGCTGGAGAAGGCATTTAGTGCTTTAAACTCAAGTCACAAGTTCCGATTGTGGCTGACTACCGAGCCCCACGATGCCTTCCCGTTGGTTCTACTGGAACAAAGCTTGAAGATCACGTTCGAGAGTCCTCCGGGTATGAAGAAGAACCTGCAACGCACGTACGCAGCGTGGAACCCAGCGTTCGTGGCCAAGGGCACTCCAGCACGTGCACAGCTTCTCTTCTTGTTGGCTTTCTTCCATGCTTTATTACAGGAACGACGCACGTATATCCCTCAAGGTTGGACCAAGTTTTACGAGTTCTCGTTCGGAGACTTCCGTGCCGGCTCGAATGTCATGGAGCTGGCTTGCCAAACTACCGGATCCGGAGGAATTGACTGGGAAACACTGCACGGTTTAATGGAGAACGCAATCTACGGTGGACGTATCGATAACCCGTACGACTTGAGAGTACTTCGCTGTAATTTGACCGAGTATTTCAGCCACGAACTGCTCTCGGGACATAAGAGTCTGACGCGTGGTGTCAAGCTACCTCAAAGCACACAACACGGAGATTATCTCGACCTTATCGACCGTTTCCCAGACGTAGATGCGCCGGCGATGTTCGGGTTGCCAGACAACATTGAGCGCTCTATGCAGCGCTCTCTTTCCGGTCAAGTGATCGCTCAGTTGAAGGCTCTGTCGTCGAGTGAAGCTGCTGCGACTTCCTTTGATCGTGAGAAGTGGAGAGCGCAACTTGGTCCGTTGTTAGAGACGTGGGGGAAGCTTACAACCGGGTTCCAATTGGAAGGCTCTTCTCTGTCGTCTAGTGCTGGCAAGAACCTGCAAGCGATGACACCGGCGGACGCCTTCGTGGCGTTAGAGAACGACTACGCCTTGGAACTGGCTCAACTGGTAAATTCGAGTCTACAGGCGTTAAAAAAGGTCATTTACGGTACTGGACTCCTCACCCCAGCCATCCAGACTGTCGCTAAGGCGTTACTTAAAGGTGTCGTACCCACAGAGTGGGCGACGCAATGGGAGGGCAATGAGAACGTCGGGACATGGCTACGTGGCCTTGCCATGCGCAAACGCGCTCTATCTGAGTGGCAGGAGGCTGTAGGCAGTGGCCAGTTGCTTTCAAAAGGTCTGGATCTGTCGGAGTTGCTGCATCCGGGCACGTTCCTCAATGCTCTTCGGCAACAGAGCGCACGTGAGCAAAAGTGCTCGATGGACGGAATGAAGCTCCTCTCGTGCTGGGAACGAGAGCGTTTGAGTGGCACGAAAGTCGAGTGGTTCGAACTGACGAGACTGTTGCTGCAAGGCGCTTCGTTTGAAGGTGGTACACTGCTTGAAGCCGTGTCAGACGCCCAGGAATTGGTCGCGGTTCCGTCCTGCTATGTGGCGTTTGTACGCGAGGACGCCCAGGAGATGTACGAGAAGGAGAACTGCATCAAGACGCCGCTGTATTACGCCACAGATCGTGAGCGAATGCTAGTGGAGATATCAGTGCCCATTGCTGGCGATCGAGCGCGCTGGGTGCTTGCAGGCGTGGCGCTCTTCTTAGGCGAGTGAAGAGGGTCAAGTTGAAGCTGATAATGTTTGACAGGACACCATCATGCATTTAAATAGGTAACTTGTGTTGCTAACATAATAAAAGCCATTTGATCTAAGTCTGGATTGTCTCTAATTGAGCTCTACCTTCGAGTACTGTACCCGTTTGCGGTTGCTGTGCTGTATTGAGCTCCTCTTGCTGACTATGGGGTGCTGCTCGTCTAAGCCGACTCCAGGCAAGGAATACGCCGCCACGACGCCTGAAGTTGCCCCTTTCTTGCCGTTTGCAGTGAGTGCGAGAACTGTTATCGACAACGCGGTGGAGGGCATGTGCATGGACCGAGGCGATGAAGTGAACAAGGTGAACGAAGAGGAGCCACAGCCTGAAGATGACGAGTCTGCGAGCATTAAACTGCCACTGGCAAAGGCTGAAGCGGAGCTGGACGAGGTGCTCGTTCGTAGTCCTGAGAGCGCGATGGCCGTGCAGTCGCCTCCGTCTCCACCGCCGCGGAAAACTTTCCAGAGTGCTGATGACATCCCGATCTCGTCCACGTACCACCGCGTACACAGTGCCGAGGTGGCAGAGCAAGAGAAAAAGTGGCAGGAAGAGCAGCGACTGGAAGCTGAACGGCGTGAGCGTGAGGTGCAAGAGTACAAGGCAGCCACGCAAATTGCGTAAAGTGGCGCATCCTGCATTGTAGCTCGTTAGGAGACCTGCTTATTTATCATCGAAATAAAGGCCTCGGTAAGGCTTACTTCAAGCAAACTGTACCATCACTCTGTCGTGTTGCATCAAGAATTTAAAACGTTGCCAGGTTATTGCATCGCAGTGATGCGTAGCATCGTGTCGTCTTGGACATCTTGGCGATCATCCCACTGTCCCTGGGGCCAATAGACCGGGCAACGCTGCAAGCGTGGCCAGGCAGCGTGGCCACTCTATCTTCCGCCCTCTTATCCTACGCTTACCTCATGGCACGAAGAGCAAGGCGTAAGCGCTGCGAGGACGCCAGACCGACGCGGACCCCAGCAAGCTGCGAGTGCAGCGTGGTGTCGCCTCGAAGTCGCGAGTCGCGACGAGATGAAACCTCGCTCCAGGTCCAGCTGCATGACACGCGAGCACGCGACCTCCTCGTCTCCTTTTGGGTCCCAAATTGGGAGGAGAGGTCTCTTCGTCACACACCGTGAGCTAATGGCCTAGCCGGGCCAAGTCGCCAGAAGCAACACATGGTGTTGGCTGCGTGAATTACAGAGACCAGCCTTAAAGTAGATCCAACTTCTCGTCATCAATTTTGTGCACTGCTGTAAGAAATGCTGTTTTGTTGGAGGTGGTGCAGATACTGTACTGTATCGTAAATGAAATAGTACATGTATAAATAATTTACTCAAACTGCAACAAACTCAGCCCGCGATCCGATCCCAAGTTGGCCTTGCGTGGGGTTTGATTTTATTGTTTGTGCTGGTGGTTGAGCCTTTGCTGTAAACGAATCTGTATTCGCTGCGCGCCGTGGGACGATTGGGACGACTATCACGAGTAAAATGAGGACAAGTGCATGTTGCTGAAGGTGCATCGCAAGTCGGTGGAAACGCACATTTAAATGCTGGAAACTTAACAAGCATTTGCCTCCGTCGTGACCTTCACGACGGCAGTCTTCGCCCATGAATATCGAAGCGACAAGACGGCAGTGAGGGCGAATGGCCTGCGTGAAATCCAGCAAAGGCTGGTCGAAATCATCTCCCTTTTCTTGCAGGTCATCGCTTCATTCCCTCGCACACAGGTTGAAGGTATTTGTACCGTACGAAGTTCCCTGCGAAGTGATTGACACGACGCGTCCTCGTGCCGCGCTACCGTACAGTAACGTCAAATCGACTTGGAGTCCGGCCAGCTACACGGCGGGTGGCTGTGCGCTCAAATTGGTAGTTGTAGGCTACTCTCCGTGACGTACGTGTGGCGGGGGCGACCCGGTACATGTAGCCCGCACAACGGCCTTCGCGCCGACGCTGTTGAGTCCACGCCGGTGAAGGTGACACTTACGATCGACGACGTGGCCTGTGTCATTGGTACCACTGTAATTCGGTAGCTGCGGATCTGACTCTCTGGCCAACTCTTAATTAACGGCGGCTACTGTACTACATGTATTAATACAGGTAGTACATGTACTGGGGCATGTCATTCATGCACCAGCTTATTCGCGCCGCGGGCGTTGTACGGCAGCGAAATACACATGCACCTTAGTCATGCTTCTGGCTCGCGCACTCACTCAGCAAAAGCTTGCTCGAGGCCTGTAAAAGCCTTGCTTCGAAATCACAAGTGCCCGTTCTACACTGGGTTTCTCGCGGACAGTTGCGTTTTCAGGTCACTCCTGTCAGAGAAATGGAACTTTTTGGTAGTGATTCTTCAACGCTATCAGTGAACATTCGTGCAGTGACGGGCAGGGTCCCGGCGCTGCGCATGGTACGCCACTCGCTGCCGCCTGCGCTTCAGACGAGGCCACGCCCCCATTTTCAAGTGACCCAATTTCTTTCATCTTAAATGGAACCGACACTGCAGCTAAGATCAATTCGGCCCGAAGCTTGAGAATAGCCAGCGAAACTAGACTAACTCCGTCCATATCGTCAGCAGGCACGAGTGGCGTCGCTTTTTACTTGGTAGAGAAATGGGTCACTCACTACCTGCAGCTTCGCTGAAACCATCACGTCAACAAGCCAACGTCTCTGAGCAAAGAGAAAATGTAATGTCTGCTCTTGCGGGTTTTAAAATGGGCCCATTTTTGCCTTTTTGGGTCTCTCGACGGTGATGTGCCAGTGCGCCACCCACTGTGGAACAGCGGCGTGCGCCTTCGACAGTACCAAGTCCCTTGTGCTTCGATCGCTCATTTCTCTTTTCCACCCCTCGCACTGAGGCGCTGTGTCACGTTGGCCGCTTCGCTCTGTCGCTGGCCAAGTCATCCCACCCCACCGGTTCACCACGTGCACTACTCACTCGCTCCGAGACTCCAGTTCAATGGCTGTCGGTATGACACTCAACCAGCTGTACGCGCCGTCGCCCTCTACTTCGAGCAACGGTGCCGCGCTCACCCCACCGCAAGGACGTAGTCCCAAGGGCCACGAAGATATCAAGGCGAACGGCAACACGGTGCCGCTCCCGCAGCAGATGGACCGCATTTACCAGATGCCGTTCCCCAACCAGCAACCACAGTACGCGTCACAGTATCCTACATCCTCGTCCGCCATGCAGTTCCAGCCCCTGGCCAAGCCTGGGCCCAGCACCTCCGAGGACTACGCGGCCGACCCGTTGCCTTTCGAGTATAGCCGCAAGTACACGCCTACGCATCGCGAAGACGTGACCCCGGGGCTACGAGGCCCTGTGTCCATTATCACCTCGAGTGCGTCGACGCACTACAACGACTCGTACCCGGTCTACGCAAGCCAACGTCTAAGTCCGTACGGCCAGCCTCAATACCCCGAGCCTCGTAGCTACCAAGATATGAACACACAGGCGCCTCCGCCTCACTTTCCGCGCTCTACGGGTCCTCAAATGTACAACCCCATGTTGCCCCTACCTAACCACCAATTCGCTAAGAAGGAGGTGGACACGTACCCTCAGCCTCAACCAGCTGTATACGGAGACGTCCGTGGCCCTGTGGCGGCCACGGGAACCGCCCAGGAAGCCATGATCAAGGTCAAAACGCCGCTTAAACTCAAGTACTGGAGGAACGGACGACGTAATCTCCAGTGTTTTCCGAGTTGCAAGGTGTTCGGAGACTACTCAGCTATCAAGATCGAAGACTTGAAGCAACACGACTTCATGTGGGGCAAGTGTCGCGGTAGTCTAGTCACCGAAGTCACACTGAACAGCAACGTGGCATTCGACGACCTCGTTCTACTGGGACGTGTCCACTCGCTCGAGAACATCCCAGTTGCCTTTGAAGAAGCTGTGATCCGAGAGTGTATGTTGGGGCGCACTGTCGAGACGGACGAGATGGACGCGATGAAAGACCAGTGGATCACTGGCGAACGTCTGCCCGACTTTGTGCAACAAGAAGGCAACATTGCGTGTTTTGAGTTTAAGCCAAAAGTGTGGAAGTACACCGAAGACATGGCTCAGGGCAAATGCAAACGTCGCAATGTCAAGTATTACGTGCAATTCGAAGCCTTCGTGCAGATGGTGGCTGGTGATCGCCGCTACTACGCGTGTATCGGTTCGGGGATGTCGACGTCGTTTGAGGTGGGGTCAAGTCGTGTACTTGCTCGTCAGAAGCGTAAAGCGGCAACTAGCGCTGCAGAGGCAGCCAAAAAAAGTCCACAAACTGATATGACGGCGTTGCAGCCGCAGCAACTCATGCACAATGGCAACTCGATGATGGCCACACACCCAATGTCGAACCCTATGTATGCTCCTCCGGTGTATCACCACGATGGCCAACCACGAAGTTTGCCTCCGACTTTTCCGCAAGTGATGATGAATCAGTTGCCTCCGCAACAAATGCCGACGGAGTTGCATTATCCGATGCAACAAGTTCCGCAACAACAGTCTCCATCTCCAGCTTCAGTGGGTGAGAAGCGCAAGATGAACAGCGAACGACCAGCGTTCCCGACGGATCGTTCGAGCAAGATGTTCAAGCCCGCGAGTGGCGTCCCGCAGTCTGTGCCAATTTAAATGGGACACTCACGGACCAAGGAGAGGGATGAAGTCTATTCTTTTAGTAAGTTGTTTTTATGAGCGTGCCGTTAGCTGCGCGTGCTGCTGGATATGAAGCGTGTGCTCTGGGAGTAAGAGCAAACGCGCTGGGCAGCCGACGTTGCAGCGCACCTTACCAGCGTTCAGGCGCTGTGTAGATACGAATTTTTTTGTGTGATTGCCGAAAGGCCCGCATGTAAGGGCCTGTTTCGTTAAATAAAAGTCTCGGTATTTATTGTTGAGCGGGTTCATCACCGAAGTCTTTGTTGTTCAGTGGCAGTTGCCAGTTGCCAGTTGCCAGTTGCCAGTTGCTATCCATCGAGTACTGTAGTATCTTTTGGCTTGGGTGGACGTTTCGGAGGCCAGTTTTGCCTGTCTGCTTTTGGATCCAAAATCCATCCGAGTTGCCATTCTTTGGTGACCCAATTTGGCAATGTTTCTTCGCGTGGTGTTGCTTCTTGTGTTGGTCGATAGAGTGGCGCAGGCCTCGACGATCCGAGCGTTAGACGGCCTGGGCAACGCTGTGGCATGGTGGGCCGTGATCAAGCTGCCGTCGCACGTGCAATCGCCTGATGGCGTTGTGATCCCGACGCCATGCGACTGTCCTGTTCCAGACTGCAGCAATGTAGCGACGGCCGGGTGGTCTGCACTTGAAGCGAGAGCCGCGGGACTCTGCTACCTCTACGCGGACTCGAGGACTCCCGAGTTCCGACACTTTCGAGACGTGGGCTATGACTGCTTGGGTCAGGGAGGCAACGATCCCGTAAGCCACACTCTCAAGCAGAAGGAGAACAGTTCGTACTGGGCAATTTTCAATGACCAGCTCAATGGGATCGCGTCAGCTTTTCATCCTAAAGAGACCGAAAGACTGCAGTACAGTAAGCAAGTGTGTGGAGGTGGAGACTTGTTCAGCGCACATGCCAAAGGTGCCGTGGCATTTCAGAGCGACGCTAGTGGTGGCTTCTTCCTGCAGACATCGACGCCCAATTTCCCTGATCCCACACGCAACGACTCGTTCGTAAAACTTGGGTGTCAAACTGATAATAACGTGCATTTTTCTCAACACATGTTGGCCATGTCATTGGAAGACAACGAGTTGCTGCAACTTGGAAACAAGTTGCAACTCGCGAGATTATGCTCGGCAAACTTTTTCCTAAATGAATCGTTGCATGATTTTTTGGGAAGTGCAACTTTATTCAAAGATGGAGCGGAACAAGAGAACACAAGTGCCTCTGCGTTCTACCATGCACTATTGGACCAATATTTGCCGGTCCAGCTTCCTTCAGACCCCATGAAAGCTGAGTTTAGCCTCAAGTTGGCAACTACGCAAGTGGAAAAGTCTCGCGTCTTTGAGCCACTGGTTAAGGGCCAAGATCTCTTCGATTTTGACCCTATAGAGGGGGAACAAGTGCGCGTTCTTATCAAGAGCCCACGAGCTGCAGTGCCGCCATGGACTCTAGTAGCAGAGATGCTGGACTCAGATGTCAGTGTGGCTTCGTGGTGGGATGGCAACTACGGTATCCCCACTATTTGCGCTGGTGATGTGTACACACACTCTCCAAATGAGTTTTGCCTGAACAATCCTCGTACAGGCGTCGAGTTGAATGCAGACGGATCAGCGCCGTACAATATCGAGAACCTCATGCAAGCCACGTACGTATATCTTATAAGCACGGCGGTGTTGCGATATAAATTGATTGCTTTTGACTTTTGCAGCTGGCACATGAGTGATGGTAGCAGCAACTTGACTTGGCAACTGGTTGGAGGTCGCGTATCGGACGGAAATCACGGTAAGTAAAGCTGGTAGCAACACAATTCAGTGCAACTATGCTTCTAACCGAGCTGCTGTTAACTTTGCAGCTAAGTGGGGGTTGACAACACCTCGCTTCGGTCCTGTGGAGAGCGCAAATGCCTACGTGACCTTCGGCGACCTTAATATGGAAGGATTCCCGTGCTCCAAGGCGTGCAATGGCTCGCAAGCAGGTAGAGGCGGCAGCTTCTTTTCTCTCCTGTACCCACGACTGCACAAAAGTTTAGCAGACTCAGTCATCTCCGGTGCATGTCGATGTTCTCCTCCTGCCGAGTTGCAATTTTTGCAGAATGACACTTCGTTGCCAACTTTTGAAGAATTGCGGATGTGTCATCGCGGCTGTGTGAAAAAAATCGAGGAGCGTCTGGAGCCGGCTCAGTTGCCAATATTGAGTGTGAACGCCTCCTCTTTTTGGTCAAAGTAAAAATTTGAAAAAAGAGTTGCCTTACTACGTTGCATTGTGATGTTGCCGGCAAGCAGTGCTGTATTTTTTTTAATGTGGAGTCATGGAGTGCCAGTAGCATAGCCACCAACACAAACGCCACGCCGCGTTTATTGGTTTAATACAGCTTCTGCATTTGACCGTCGATTTACTTTGACGCCGAAATGTACAACACTAGCATAAGAGAACATTTACATGAGTTTCTTTTTCACATTATAGCAGAAAAGGGTCATAACTTGCCACCGACCGTTGTTGCCACGGATGAAGCAGTCGCCGTACTGCGCCTTCAGCTGCCCATTTTGATACTCCTGCGTCTGCTCCATTGCGATGTTCATGAAGCCATCCAGGCAGGCCAACACGCCCTTGTACTCCACGCCGTTATTAAGCTTCACGTCCACAGGGCGGCCTAGCACGCCCTTGAGGAAGTCGGACGGCGTCTTCTTCGTGCTGGTCTGCTGCTCCTGGTCCGCCATACTACTGTTATTAACACCAAAATGATAAAATGGGGAATTTTGAAAATAACGTTATATATCTAATTTTTTCTGCTCATTTTGTTTTATTAACCCATGTGATCTGCTGGTACCATTTAAACTCGGTTTTAAGAAATCAGTTTTTGACAGTATTAATAAATACTGTAGGCGGTAAGCATCGTCGCCCAAACAATCTTCTCTTTTTTCTTGGAAATTGGAAATGGGAAAGGACACCTCGAATTCAGCATCATTTCCCAATTCCCATTTCCAAAAGAGGCGGGACTAAGGCAAGTATGAATTCCACACGAATCCAAAACTGCCCGTGAAATTCTCCACATCATCAATGCGCTGGACCTTGATGATGTTTCCCGTTACTTCGACCAAGACGAAGACGAAATCGACCCCTATGTCGTGTGTGAGGGAGTTTCGGCCCATGCGTTCAATAAGTACATTGGCGATGGCGAAGGACTTCGAATTGGACTTCGATTTCTTGACCTCAGTGACGATGGACGTATTTTGATCGTCGATGTCCCTACAACAGTGCACGAGGCCACTTCAGGGGTTTTTGGGAGCAAGTTCCTGACTGCAACTGGAAACAGAGACGCGATCGGAAAACGAGGCTCAATGACCGCGAGTAGAGTTGCGCTTCCAAAGAAAGAGGCCGATGCCACGTTTGGTCCGTTGAAATCGACTCCAAACCGAACACGAACACCGCTAGCTCGCACTATTGCAAAGTGGGTGACGCTAGCTGTGGAGGTTCCAAACTTGGGCAAGTCTGGAAAGAGCTGCCGAGTGGTGGTGTGGTTATGCGGGGATTCAGTACATTTTGCTGCTGAAGGTGAGTGCTCCTGGAGCGCAGATTGCGTATTGCTTGTATGAGATCAATATACCGCCGGGACTTCCGGGGCTTCTCCCACTACCAATAGCGACAGGGACAGTTCGACAACGCAACAGACCGCGACATGCTGACAGTGTGACCTTACATGCGTCGGGTCTTGTCAATCCCTGCCAATCAACCTCTTCCAAATGGAGTAAACGCGGAGGCTGTCGTGGACCTAATCAAGTCATCGATACCATTTGATGAGCTTCGAGTAGGCGACAAGTCTCGTGACAAAGTTTTTAAGAGCTCAATACATTTATGAAGAGTCCTGTGCGAGTCTTTTTAGCGGTTAATGCTTTGCACACGAATTAAAGTAATTGACACGAAAATGGATTCAATTGCTTTTAATGATATACCACTAGATTAAGCTCCGGCTTGCACTTTTTCTAGTATTAATATATTTCAAAGTTTAATTCTGATTATTTTGTACGTCAAAGCGAAAAAAAAACATTAAGTGACAGCTCAAATGGTCAGGTATTGGCAAAATTGGCGGAAAATGTGCTCATAAAAGAAATCGTGCTGACGCTATGTAAGTAGAGCTTTTAAACTAGCTCCACCACGCTTCCGTTGGAGCTGTACGACCGACGATATCGCCGATTTAAGGAGCTCGTAAAAAAAATTCTGACCAGACAAGTATTTTTGTTTTGACAGCTTGAGGTTTTGGATGCAAAAGGGCTACCCTTTTTGCTACCCTTACTCTTTTGCTACCAAAATCAACACAAGCTGCCCGTGTTGCAAAACTAGGCGGTAAACTCACAAGAAAACCAGCATAATGTGTAGGTTTAAAATACACGTCCTGCGATAATTTCCTGGCTCAAAGAAATTGGCCCTAATGATTTAGGCCAATAGCGTTACGAATAAGTTTCACCATGATTTGTCATTTACTTAAGTAGTTCTTTTCTTAAAGAACCCATAGAGTGGACATCATTAAGAGCATCTCCAGCGGTAGGCTCTAACGATGGTTTTATCCCAAAAGTTGCGCAAATAAATCTCTCGACAAGGTTTTTTTGCCCCACCCGTTGGTGGTATTATTAGTTTTAACTTCAGGAAGACTTATATTTCTGGTCCAAGGACTTTATATAAAACCTCAGTCTAACGAAAGGAAACCTTCGATCTCAGCACCGACACGGAAACTTGCAGTACGATGGGGAAGGGCTTAGCGTGGAGTGAGAGCGAGACCATACAGCTTTGCCTGTCGTGGCTGGAGGTATCGGAGGACGCAGTGCGTGGTGCAGGACAGAAGAAGAGCACGTTCAGCAGTCGCTTGTACAGCCACTGGCTGGAAAACAAGAGACCAGAAGACAAGGATCCTTGAACGGAGGTTGCGATAATGGGGCGATGGAAGAAACTGCAGCCAGAAGTAACGAAGTTCTGCGGTATATATGCGAAGGTCACCAGCAGAGAGCGATCAGGATGGAATGACGCTATGTATCTGGACGCCGCGTTGAAGGTTTACCAAGAGCGACGCAAACAGCCGTTCGAGTTTCTTGCGGCGTGGAAGGAGCTCAAGGACAAGCCCAAGTGGACCAACAAGATCACTTCGGCCTCATCTATTGGAGTCAAGCGAGGAACAAGTGACGTTGCGTCTTTGGAGAGACCAGAAGGCCGCAAAGCAGCAAAGGCGGCTAACGCCAAAACTAATGAGAGTCATGGAAGTGCTGGAGCTCAAACGATTGGGGGTGAAGCTCACCTTAGGTTCGTTGTTGCCACAGAAAAGAAGGTCGCTGTGATGGAGCAAAGTCTCCATCTATCTATCTTCTTGCAGAATCCCGCTAGCTACGAATCACAGGAATATTTTACTATGCAGCGAAAAACCATACTCGCCAACATGAGAAAGACACTTGCTGTTTCACAAGAGCGCCAGCAGTTACAACAAAGCGAAGAGCTAAAAACACCTGAGCGTTCGTTCATGGCACCGCACGTGGCAGGACTACATAATGGCGAGGGTGAAGAAAGTGAAGTTGCTGACAATCAAATCAGTACTTTAATTTAGCTGGGCTTCTGCACGTAGTCTAGCTTAAAAACCTACTACACAGGATCCAGAGAAAAGTTTTGCTAGCCGAGATCACCGTAGCACTGCCATACGTGCTCGATCAAATCCGTTTTTAATTCATAGTGAAGCTCTTCGTCTTCAAGCACTTGCATCGCGTTTGCTATCATTGCGACTGGGCACTCATCCGGTACACCAACTTCTGCCGGGCTGACCCATTCATCTTCAAACAGGTACTGATGATTTAGCGAGGTAATTCGCTGCTCGTCTTCCACAATCATGTTATGGAGGATGATGCATGCTAGCATTACATCATTCATTGCATCGACACTCCATAGTTTACAGGGCAGGGCAAGAATTCGAAAGCGTTGTTGTAATACTCCAAATGTGCGTTCAACGTCTTTGCGAGCGGCTTCCTGCTGGGCAGCGTAACATCTACGCTTGTTGCCTTGGGGCGCACTGATACTGGATTGGAAAATTGCCCAGGCAGGATAAATTCCATCTGTAAGATAGTATCCCTGATTGTACGTCGCACCATTCACAGTGAAGGAAATCCTGGGAGCAACACCGTTTACCAGGTCATTCAACAAAGGTGAACGCTCGAGTACATTCAAATCATTGTTGGCGCCAGGCATGCCATAGAATGCATGCCAAATCCATAACGACTTAGAAGCCACGGCTTCCAAGATCACCGTCGAACACTTCTCTTTTCCCTGAAAAGCTCCTTGCCATGCCGTTGGACAATTCTTCCATGTCCAGTGCATACAGTCCAAGCTACCAATCATACCCGGAAATCCGCGTTCAGCATTCTCGGCAAGAAGTATTTTCAAGTCATCCTTGGTCGGCTTTCGAAGATACTCTGGACCAAATAATCGGATAATATTTTTGCAGAACAGCTTTAAGGTCTCCAACACTGTGGACTCAGCCATACGAATCAACTCATCTAATTGATCTGCTGATGCTCCATATGCCAACATCCGTAAAGCACACGTCACCTTCTGTTCTGGTAGGAAACCAGCACGTCCAGTTGCGTCACTACGCTGGACGAAGTAGCTGCACTCTTCATCCTCAACCAGGGCAATGGTAATGAGCTCAAAGAGGTTACGACGCATACGAAATCGCCTGCGGAAGTCATCTGCATCAGAACGAGTAGCCATGAGCATTAATGGACAGTTTTAAAGGAGAACATGTCGTTTACTCAAATACATACCATCATCGTAGACTGGGTTGTCGCCAAAGTAGTCACTCATTAGGCGTTCACCCCATATTTCTCGATCCCGCTCTTTATTTGCTCTCCTGCCTTTGGTGGACCCGCCGTGTTTGCCCCGCACTGCGCTCGTGTTGTCCACCCCGCCCTCAGGCAACATGTAGGTGAAATAGTACTCTTCTTCCGAGTCGTCGTCCATACTTGACGTCGCCAGCAGTGCTTCACTCCTTCGTGTATTTCTGATAGTGCGGTATCTAGAGAGATCTTTTGTATCGTCGTTTGATTGGACAAAAAAATGTTAAGCCGCGGTGAGTTCCAAACCGCTGTAGACAAGATGCAATCAGGAGTTCTATCCTAAAAATTGAGGTCTCATCCGTCTCAATAGGACTTGCAAATAAGTCTAACCGCTGGAGATGCTCTAAATGATTAAATGATGTCCACTCAACTCTCTTTATGGGTTCTTTGAGAAATGGGCTAAGTTATGAAATTTTCATCACTGCCTAACTTCAGGGGCTGGCCGAAATTAGCGATCGGTTAGCCGAAAATTACGTGTAATTTATGTATAGAATTAAGAAAGGTGAAATACCATTTTCTTATTCAATATTTCCGCTCAAAATAAGCTGCACGCAACCTTCTCTTGGTTGTCCGAACGGTCCGTACGATTGGCCATGGTCGACCAGGGCTTTTGGACGGGTACGGCTAACCGGAAAATTACGTTTGCGACTTCTGGTACAAACCCACGAAATCCACAAAAAGCTGTCTGCAAGGTGATTTCACAAACTTCTGATGAGTTTGTGATGGCAATCCCACTTCATCTACAGCAAGCAAACACACATTTTTATCACTAGGATTAAGGATTTTTAAAACCGGGATAGGTAAGAAAAAAAAAGGTGAGCAGAAAATCAAAGGTATTTTCAAAATGTTGGTGTGAATTTGTCAATTTTGTTCGTTTTTTCACCAAAAATTTATTGTCTTCGAGAGTTTTGTAAAGGTTAAATTTTTACAAAGGCTCGTTGATACATTTTTCGGTGTTTTGAATTATGGAGCAGTTGCAGCGCGAGTATCTTCGTGGCGCACGGCGTAAGGCCCAGACGAGCGACTATTTCGACGCAGACGACAGCGCAGACGAGCGAGATCATTCTTCTGCAGCTACTCCAGCAGTCGACGACGATGAAGTGGACCCATTGGACGCCTTCATGCAGGGAATTGCCACCGAGGTGAAGCAACAGCGCACAGCGCCACCGAAACTAGTGGCTGACAAGGTGGGAAACACCAGTATGCGTTTCTCTTATTTTCTAAATTATTTAAATTTTGTCAACTGTGTCTTTAACAGCCGCAAGTGTTGAATCATGCTGATGATGACGCACACAGCTATCTGGAAGAATACGCACGTGTAAGTTTTTGCTTCTAATTTGCAATTTGTTTTAGCTGCATTGCCATGAAAAAATTCAATGTTTTATTTCAATTTACTGTTGCAGACAACAAAAAAGCCTCGAGTGGGTCTAAATTTAAATGACGAAGACTCGGATGAGGAAGTCTACGCAACAGCCAGGCAACTGGACGATGTCGATGCTCCAGACGACATGGCAAAGAAAGTGATGGAAGTCTTGACACCAATCGACCATTCCACAGTGACATACGAACCATTTCGCAAAAGTTTCTACTCTGCTCACAGCGAAACTTGCGCTCTCAAGGCTCAAGAAGTGGCAAATCTCCGCTCCGAGCTGGATGTCCGTGTGGATGGAGTCGACGTCCCTGCTCCCGTGAGGTCGTTCATGCATCTCGGCTTGGACCGCAAAATGCTGCAAACACTTATGAAACTGGGACTGGAGGCTCCGACGGCAATTCAGACGCAAGCTTTTCCTGTGGCTCTCTCGGGTCGAGATTTGATTGGCATTGCCAAGACGGGATCGGGCAAAACGTTGGCCTTTACATTGCCCATGGTTCGTCACGTGATGGACCAAAGAGAGTTGCAACGTGGCGAAGGACCCATTGCACTTGTGTTGGCACCAACACGAGAGCTAGCACACCAGACTTATGTACAAGCAAAGAAGTTCCTCGCAGTGTATGGCGCTTCGTGTGCTGCAATTTACGGTGGAGCTGGCAAATGGGAACAAGTTCAGGCACTGAAAAAAGGTGTCGAAGTTGTCGTTGCCACACCTGGTCGACTGATTGAGATGATAAGGAAGAAAGCGGCTCCGATGAATCGCGTGACTTTTGTGGTGCTAGATGAGGCCGATCGCATGTTTGAAATGGGTTTTGAGCCCCAATTACGCTCCGTTATGGGTCAAGTGCGTCCAGATCGACAGATTCTCATGTTCTCGGCCACTTTTCGTCGACGGATTGAAACGTTGGCGTTGGATGTACTTACAAACCCAGTGAAGCTGACAGTTGGGCAAATTGGACAAGCGAACGAAGATATTCGTCAGATTGCTGTCGTGTTGCCTGGACATGGAGCCAAGTGGCCATGGTTGATGTCGAAAATACGCAGTCTAGTGGACGAAGGTCGCTTGCTTATCTTCGCTGGTAGTAAAGCTGGTTGCGAGGAGCTAGCGAAGAATTTGGCTGTTGCATTCCCAGCTGCACCTGCGCTGTGTTTGCATGGAGACAAGACGCAACAAGAGCGAGCGGAAGCGTTGACCAAGTTTAAACATGGAGCATGTCGCGTTCTGGTGGCTACGGATGTGGCTGCGCGTGGACTTGACGTCAAAGATGTGAAGAATGTCGTGAACTTTGATGTGGCCAAGAGTATTGACACTCATGTGCATCGGATCGGACGGACAGGACGTATGGGACTGGAAGGTTTTGAGCCTGGGACGGCGTATACTTTGGTGACACGCAACGAGTCGCAGTTCGCTGCTCAACTTGTGTACAATATGGACGTCTCTGGCCAATCAGTATCTGCGGAGTTACTGGCGCTTGCGAGAAAGGACTCGAGGTTCCGTCGAGGCGCTGCGGCTCATACATGTACAACGCAAGCGAGTGGTGCTGGAAGTGCAGAAGAAAGACAGGATCGGACGTTTGATGCAGAGGACGAGGCCGAGTTGGAGCGATGGAATGATAGTCGTCGGAAGAGCAAAGCTGATCAACGTAAGGGACTGGGATTTGCAGGTGCGAAACCAGTGAGAGCAACTGGAATGCGAGGGTTTGTGAAGGCGTCGATGCCTGACACGACGCTGGCGACTGCCTTCCGCTCAGGTTTTGTCAAGTCGACATTAAAGGCCGACACGGCATCGACGCCTTCACCTGCTATCAGCTATCTCGCTTCGTCTCCAGCATCAGCTCCGCGACCGCCAGCGATCAAGGCCAGTCCGATCATTGGGGTTCCTCCGGCACCTGTACAACCCCACGCTCCTCCAATTATTCCACCACCTCCCCCTGCTGTCATCGTACCAACACCTCAAGTCACGACGACGTCCGTAGCTACACAACAAGAAAGAGAATCACGTTCAAGTTCTTCTCGCAGTCGTAGCCACTCGAGACGTCGACGTCGATCTCGTTCGCGTTCAAGCTCATCCGACAGTGATCACAGACGTCGAAGGCCTCGCTCCCGACGACGTTACAGCTCCAGCAGCAGCCGCAGTCGAAGTCGCAGTCCTAGTCGGTATCGTAGTCGACGCCGATCTCGCTCTCGTCGACGTTAAACCTGTGCATGACAAGGAAAACTATGAAGACAATGGAGGCTGAGGGTAGAAGGGATTAACACAAAACTATAGGGAAACTACATGATACTGGGGCGGCGGCTTATTTGTCTTTGCCCGAAGGCGGGTCGTCGCGTGTCTTGCACCCCATTCAACGAGCGAATCTATTGTCTGTCAATTCACGCCTGTGCCTCCGACGCAGTCTCCTCCTTTGAAGTGTCTTCTACCGCAGTTGTCTCTGCACTAGGTGCGTCCTCGCTAGCTGCGCTATCGTCCTCCTTGGTCTCCGCTTTAGTCTCTGCCTCCGTAGCGGGAGTCTCCGCACTTGTCTCCGCCGCTGCCACTTGGACAGGAGCGGAGGTTGCCGTACGGTTCACAGCCAAGTCGGCTGTGGTTACAATTGCTGGCACAGGCTCGTCGTCGTCAAAATCGTCATTCTCCATCCCAGGAATAGGCTCGAAGGGAATGTCCTCAAACGTGTTCTCAAACTTGGCCCAGCTGCCTCCAGACTCAAAGTTGGCCCAGCGATCCGCCCCCGGTTCGCCCTCGTTGCCCTTCGCAGCACTCTCCTGCCGTGCCAGCTCCTCTTCGTCTTCTTCCTCGCTACTGCTGCTGTCGTTCATGATCTCCGGCAGCATCGGTGTGTCCGTATCCTTGACATCAAAGTCGGTATCAAAGCCATTCAAGCCAGAGGCGCCCAGCATCTCTGCGAACTGAGCATTCAACAGCTCGTCGTTCTGGTTAAACCCCATGACCGAGTACGGGTCTTCTCCTCCCTGCGAGATCGTCACACCGCCAAGAGGAAGACGCTCCCGCTCGTAAATAGGCGCGAGCACCTTACTGGACAGCTCCTCCCACTTCTTCCACGTCACGTCGTCCTCTTCAAACAGCTCCAAGACCGTGTCAGCATGTCGCATTTCATTCAGCGAGCCTTCCTCGTTGGTGCTGCCACGCACGTCTTCCAGCATCGTCATGAGCATGTTGCAGATGCGGTGGAGATGACCCACAAATCCCAGCGAAAAGCCCTTGGCCACTGCCGTCGCCTGGTCGTTCTTCTCGTGTGCCTCAATGATACGAGGCAGCAGCCGTGCGTCCTTCACTAATCCTACCAGCAGTTCGTGACTGCCACTCTCTAAGATCCCGATCACCATACTCTCCACGTCCGCGTGCAGCATGTTGACCGACTCGAACGTGAAGAACAAGTCCAGACACGTCTCGATCGCGTGATGTTCCAGCAACGCAATGTCCACTTTCTGGTACTTGGACTGCATGAGCAACACCACCAGCCCGACCATCTTCAAGCGACGTAATCCCAGTCTCGGGACCTCCTGGTGGCGCTGATTACGGATCATCCCAGCGTCCGCCGCGTCGGTCTTCAGAATGGCGCAAACCTGCGGCAGACGCGCTACTGCACACGCCACAGCGGGCGGCATCTCGTCTGTAGCGCAGTACTGCGCGTTCGTAGCACGAGACAGCAACGCACTTAGCACGGAGATGGCTCCGGTCATGGACGACACACACGACGCCGCGTCGTCACTCGGGACTGCAAGCGCCACGAGTTTCTCGGCCACTTCCTTCGTCTCCAAGTGGTCCAGAAGTGCAAACGACACTGGCGCGCTGGAACTGGCCGGTGACGCAGGGTCCGTCTGCTGTGCGCGCGTGCCACAGTGAATAATGTCCACTAGCACTTCAGACGCGTGTTTGTGCGCGTCACTATCGGCTTTCGCGTCCGCTAGCGTGGCCAATAATAGGTCCACTACGGTAGGTTCGGACTGCCAGGTCAGCGTCTTGTCCTTGGAGGCTGTGGGGGTGCCACTAGCGCTGAGATGGTCGTCCTCGTCTGCTCCGTACCATGAATTGGACGGCGGGAAGCCCATCGACATGCCCGGGAAGTCCATACAGTCGTCCATATAGTCCGCTTGATACGGCTGAAGTAAGCGCTTAAGCAGCTCAGCCACCGAGAAGCTCGCGGCATGACGCGAGAAACCGGCCAAGAGCGGCTCCGAGTTCTTGTTAAGTAACGCTGTCATCTCCTGCGGTTTACGTACCATGAGCATGGTCACGATCTTCTCAAAGTACCCAGCGAGACGAGGATCTAACGACTGCGTTTGATACAAAAACTCAAATAACGTTTCGACGATTTTGCCTTCACATGAGGTCACGAGAGTCTCGGTGATGCTCGTGATGTCACAACAAATGACTTCGCACGACATGTACGGGTACTTGAGTGTGCGCAGGTCATCGGATGTGTCCTCGGGGGTACGCACGACGTACTCGACGAGCTGCTGCACGATAGCCTCCTGCGAGAGACTGGAAAATAACGCAGTTTCCGATTGTTAGTTCCGAAAATAACGCATATTTTAGGGTAATAATATAACGTGTGATTGCAGGAGTGATGGTCGTACAAGTCCAGCAGCTTCGTGTTGCGCGTCTTGACCTCCTGCACCAGCTCGTCCTCTTGTAGCACCTGCTCCAGTGTGAAGTCGTCCTTCTCCAGCAGATCGTTGAGCGGACTCGAGATGTTGAAGAGCGACGAGCCCTGCGCCCACACGCTGCCGTCGTCAGCCATAGCGGAGAACAGCGACATGCTTGTCGAATAAGGAAGCCCCCTCTCTCTCGCTCTCTGTTAAGTGATGAAAGGGGAGCAACAGACGTCTCGGGCTCCGCTTGGTTGTGGGCCGGAGGTTTCTTCTTCCCTGGTGGCGGCGGCACCTTCCCCCCTCGTGTTGACCCGTTTTTGTGAGTGGCTTCTAGAGATGAGTATTTATGCTTTGGCTTTATTTAGAAGAAAAGGATTGGAGATTATCAGTGGAAAGGTAGGCAGCGTTGGATTCCTCCGCAACAATGAGGCTCGGGGTGGGGATTGGCCAATTTTTGGTTTGAGCTTTTTATAGCTAAAAGTTGCTTGGCTCGCCCGGGGCGCTGGCTAATATCCGGAGGCGCTAGCAGGAGTGCGATGTGCTGATGCGTGGTGAATCACCAGGTGATAAGGCACAAAAGTGCCGCACAAGGGCGGACAAGACAACAGCTTTAGCGGCTAAAGCTGCTTCCTTTAGACGTTTAGCCTAAAAAATGGAGTTTGGTCCAGCTTTGCACCAGTGTGGTGGTAGTGGTCGGTTTAATCGTGTTTCAACTGTTTCGGTGGTTGAGGACACATTCCGACCACCGATTGGGACAAGGGTCCTTTCTGACTGGTCATGCATTGGTTATAATACTTTAGATTTCCAGCCAATCATGTATGTACATGAAAGATTTTCAAGTAAGCTTATTGTGAAGTTATCATGCCCAGGAGCTCGCAGCGAGAAAAAAATTATAGCTAGAACCAAATAGCGCTACGTTCGCAGTTCCTTTAAAGAAAAAAAAATATCTAAAAAAAATGAAATAACCGCTCATATATAAGGGCTCAACTTTATTTATGTCTCGACGAGTTGCTCAAAGAAAGGCGGAAGTGGAAGTGTTCGCAAAAGAGGCTCCTGCTAGAACGCTTGTGAGTCAAGCCACACCACTATGGAGACGCCTCGAGGAGAGATGTGATGAAATACAAATTGGACGTCAAGGCTCGTACTCCGTTGAGCGGCTCGAAAGTCTGGAGCAGTACTGCAAATCCACTTCAAGAGCGCGAGTGCTTGTGATTTGTTTGTGTACTCCGTTGCCTGCGTTGACTACAGGAGTGTTGGTGGAATGTTTGCCTCTTCAACGTCCATCCGAAGGGTGGGCTGCCAATTGGGCATTCTGGCTTCGACTTTTGGTCGCTCACTTTATTCTCAATGCTGCAGTGAACTCCCAACTGATTTGGTTCATCCCCGGACTCAATATCATATTCGGCAAGATACTCACAATCGCAGTGGGGGCTTTTCTGGGACTGGTATCTTGGCTGCAAGCACAATCGGGTTCCCCGTGCCGCTCATGATGCAGTTTGGATCAATTCCTGTCGCGATTTATGCTTTCGTAATGACTTTGCTCGTCCTGGGTCCGGTTCTGATCGCGAAAGACTCGCCGTTTAAAGCCCACTTCGATAGATACAACCGCTTCTTTGCCGCGTTCATGATGTGGTGTGTTCCCAATCTACAGGGTGGTGTACGAAGCTGTCCCCATGGCGTTCAAAACGTTTATCGTCGTTATTCTACCGTTTGTAGCAAAGCATTTTCTCATTCTTTCTCTGCGAGAACTGGTGGATGTGATGCCGGTGCTTGTAGCACTATCTGTTGACTTTATGATCACTTTATTCATCGCCGTGTGCATGTCGACTTCGGGGTCCTTTACGTTGACGATACTCTTTATAGCCGCAGACTTTATTCAATCGTGGCTGGAATTTCGAGAAATGAGAAGTAGTTCTCGAGTGTTGCTGCTTCTTGTAAATGACTCCAGGAATTCGAACGGCACTGACGCAACCGACCTGCTCTCGATAATTGTCGATGTGGTAAGAACTCGGGCGGAGGTCATTGGACTCAGTTCGGCTCTGGGCGTGTCTGCCTCATTCACTTACAAAAGAAAAAGCTGAGCGTCTTCAAGCGCTCGACGCGTCAGGTGTGTACAGCGAGAGGTGTGACAGCATTCACATAAGGAAGAGTCAGCAGTTAAGCTTACGACCACTTCGACAGGCATCCATTGCGCCAATTGACATCTAGCTACCGAATCTTCTGATACAAACATTTCCAAACCAGAGAATGAATGCAGCGTTAACACTCCGCAAGCAGAGAGGGCGAAGGCACTAATGATTCAGGGACTACAGCTCCTATTTCGGAGCGAGTACTTGGTTCTAGTCGAGTACGTTGAGTGCATAGTGCCACTTATTCTCTTAGTGTTCAAATTGATCCTCGAACAGCTACCAAACGTTGTGTATTATCCTGGCGGGGCCGGAATGTGGGGTCTGAATGCTGTAGCAAATATGGTTTTACTAGTGGTGCTGGAGGTTGGATCGCTGGTAATTTTGAACGCATTCCTGCAACGCAAATTTGCGTTTTCCCCGTTTTATCAACTCGCTTTTGTGCTGGAAACAGAGATGTATGCAGTCCAAGCAATATTCTTTATTCAGTGCCTCATTCTGCTGCAATTCGAACTGGAGCATTTGGGTAAGTGTTTGTTTCTAACTAGTATTTTTACTATCGCTAACTTTTTTCTACCTACAATTCCAGGTGCTGATTTCACTCTAGAGTTCAAATGGCTATTAGGCCACAGGCTAAAAAAGTGAATTTTTCGTCAGTTATGTGCATGTACCTTATATAGCAGTATTTGCTCACGATTCAACGCTATCTGGCGCAAACAATACAGTTTCAAATTTAGAACGCCATAATAATTCTAAGCTGCGATATTTTCGCATATAGCTCTATCACTTTTAATATAACTAGGCTGCAGCTGTAATATTCAAGTATACATAACAGCGTGGTATCATTTTCAAAAATATGTATCTGAAGCTAGTGCGACATCGTATTATCTATAATATATCTGGTTTTCGCGAAATCCTGGCCATTTAATTTGGAAAAAAATCAAAGCACAGAGAGGAAGTTCAGATTCACTTGTCAATTACCAAGATGCCCAGTACAGCCAGCCAAGTGTTCGACCGCCTCAACCGACAGTGGGAGGACGAGACCTCCAACCTCGTTGTTAGCCACGAGAACTATGGCGATGTCGCTCGCCATATAGAGGAAGAAGCCTCCGATTCTGGCTCACCTATTCTGTCTGAGTATATTGCGGCAGGTGGTGATAGTGCGCTAAAGGGCATGACCAACTTCTCTGCGCCCGAGCTGGATGCGCTTTGGGCTCTTGTGGAATCTGCGGTGACGATTACATGGACGCAAGGTCGTGGGCGTAAACCGTCTGTGTCGGGGAAAGACGCAATGTTCATTACCCTGACCGTGTTGAAGCATTTTGACACATGGCAGAAGCACGCGATCGATTTTAACATCGGGATTTCTACGCTGGAGAAAATGGTTCACCGTGTCATTCAGACAATTGAGCCCGTGCTGTACTCCCAGATGGTCAAGCGCGTAAGGATGTCCGAGCAGATGGAAGCTGGAAACACCTTTACAAACTATCCACATGCTCTCTACGCTACTGACGTCAAGTTCCAGCCAGCATATCGGCCTAGCGGTCGCTTTGCAGAACAGAAGGTTTACTTCTCCGGTAAGCACAAGCTCTATGGGTTCAAGATTGAGTGCTCTGTGACACCACCAGGTGTCGCTGTTGATGTTTCAGATCATTCTCCTGGATCAACGTCGGATCTGACGATGATGCTCGACAGGCTCACGATTCATCGTCAGATGCTGCGCAAGGAGGACGGGACAACTGCTGAAATGGGAGCTGACCCAACGCAGTTTCCACATATGTGGGCCGTGCTAGTAGACAAGGGTTACCAGGGTGCAGGGCGGGTGCTTCGAATGATCCAGCCAAAGAAACAACCGCGTGGAGGCACTCTTGACCGCGACGATATTTCCCGCAACCGTGCAATTTCTTCAGATCGCGTCCTGGTTGAGAATTATTTTGGCCGGATGTGTATGCTGTGGAAAGCTACCTATGCGACCTTTAAGTGGAACGAGAACCGTTTTGATGGTGTTGCTCGGCTATGTGTGGCGTTGACCAACTTCCATGTAGGTTTGATGCCTCTACGAGCTCACGACAGCGAGCACTACGATATGGTGTTGTCCAAGTATCAGTCAATGGGCGAGCGTGTTCGCACCCAGCGTGCTAGAGCCCAGCGTCTATATCGGGCTCGGCAACAGCAGCGCTCGCGCCCTGGACCATATAGCGTTCGCTCTCGCCTATCCACATCTCAGCGCGAGACCCAATACGAATCGGACGACTCCCTAAATCATGCTTTGTAAGGCACCTTTTCCCGGTCTTATTCTGCTTGCTCCTAGCTTCCTAAGACTAAAGACATTAAATAGATTACTGTTTGCTATACCTCTACGTTTGACTTTCCAACTTGTCGTCAAAATGGATGTAATCAGGCTCCGTGCAGCTAGAAAGGATTAGGCAGCAACTTCAAAGCGGTAAAAACCACGGAAGTCGCTTAATGCCAGTCGCCCACTAATACCACACCACGCGCCATCTTAAACTCCACAATACACTACAGGGGTATGCGTGTGACGTTCACAGTACTTCGGCCCGTCACCCCCTTGGCCGATTGATGGCAAGTTGGAAAGTGAGGAAGATGAAGTGTCTAGCTGCTTTATTCGCACTTGTAGAGTACCTGATAGTGTATAGGCAGAACCCAGGTGTCGCTGAAATAGACCGACTCTTGGGTAGAAGCCTCCATAATTAAATTTTTGGGCCACAAATGTAGCCAACTGTTTTTCATAGGATCGTACTTATCCCAGAAGTAACGGCCTGAGCCATGAGATGCAAAAATATAAAAAACAGCAGGGTACATGCGAAAAAAAGTATGTGCTTTTCCAAGAATCATGTTTTCCGGAATAAGGCATGGAATTCGCATAAAATTAGGTTTTATGCGAAATTAAGCACCATACGCTAAGACACACTTTTTGAGACTGTTATCTAATGAGGAGTTAGAGAAATTAATCTTCTTTACCTCGACCACTGATTTTGAGTCAAAATTTTTGACACTTTTATAGCTTCGCCATGCTATAATACGATGCGTAATTTTGAGAACATTTGCGTTGTTCACAAAGTAATTTCCTACGTATTTGCGAGTTTTTCGACCTCATGCAACCTCCAAGCTACTTTGTGGACGTGAACACTCATTCGAAAAAAACGTTGGCCTGCTGATGTTGTACCTAGCATCGTCTGGCAGCATGCAAGACACCGGACTTGCACTGAGTATATCTCAGCCTCATGTTGTAGGTACTATAAATGCGCTGCTTCAAATCTATGTAGACGCGCTGGTGACTACATTTACTTTCCGTCAACAAAGGTGGGTGGAATAAGATTAAGGATGCCTTTGGACACGTTCGGGTATTTTCATACGTGTGTGGTGCTGTCGATGGATCATTGATCGAGATTGCGCGACGCCGAGTACGAGGGCTGGTGCTGCATGGTTTTTACTCATATATTAATATGCAAGCCGTAAGTGACCATCGACGGCGTTTTATGGATTACGAAACGCGTCCAGGATCATATAGTGGCTTTAACCTCAACGTAGTTACGAGCATTGCTGAAGTTTTCTTTAGCAGAAACATACCTATGCAAACCACATTTATTAGATCTCTGTTTAATCTCTAGTGTATTGATAGACATCAACAAGTAAGCACTCACCGCACTGTAACAAGTGTGACGCCGTCCAAAGTTCCTGATCACTCCTCGACGGTCGACCACGCTTTGACTTCGAATTTGGTGCTGCTACCACAGTCTCTGCTGGAGTCTCCACTGATGCGACTTGGTCTGCCGCGCCACGAGGCGGAGACTGTAGCTGGTAGTTTTGGACAGGAGAAGGTCCATAAATTCTGTCGTATCTGCGTTCATGACGACGCGATGCACTTTTCCAACTGACTGGTGTCGACCAATAGTTCCGCGATAACAAATTTGACGGGGTATGTAGATTGCCAAAAATATTCTCAGACCGGGCGTCTGCGCGGAAATTTTGAGTAGAACCTACAGTACAAGTAAAAGTGAAACCCAGCCCTTTTCTTTATTTTTACGTTTAAAAAAAGCTGCCAGATTGTGGCAGTGTCAGATTCCAGCACGTTTTCAGTAAAGACTTTCAAACGACTTGATGTTTGTAAGGACATCCGCGGCTTTGTGACAACAGAGGACGAAAGCGACCGGAACCACACGGCAGACGCAGCGCCGGCGCATTCTTTGAGCAGCTATCGACGAGATGGACGTAATGACGATGGAGAACGTAGGCCCCTGTAAGAAGAAGCTGGTGCTGCTGGCAACAAAAGGCGAGACCGCCGCGGGAGAGACGCTAGGCGGAGGCCTCTGCCTCAATCCAGTGCTATTCCCGGTGGAGAAGGCGCAGAGGCGGTCAGCCTGCGAAGACCCCGCGTCGAGTCGAATGGGCGCGTGCTATCCCAAATGTATGGGCACAGGAGCCGATCAACTGGTGCTGCCCGGCGCACAGACCAAGAGATCGGCCGCCACCGCCATGGACGCGAGTCTGAATGAGGCAGAGCTGGTTACCAAGATGCAGACATTTGACCTCGAGGAGCTTGGCCTGGCCGCAGCCTCGCAGGCTTCTTACAAGAAACCGGAAAAGAATATCGTCGTGGACTACGAGGACAGCGATGGAGAGCACCAGGAGCTACGCCACAAGGAGGCCACGTGTGCCCCCAGTGCCTGTGCACCAGTGCTGACGGGCGCAGATTCGAATAATGCGCGTCAGACACGTCGCCGCTCGCGTTGCGGCAGCTCAGAGGTGGCGGCAAGTGGAAGTTTGCGAGGGAAAAGTGTAATCTTTGACCAGAATGTCAAGTCAACCGAGCCCGCGTCGTCTAATATCTCGGACACAGATGCAGAGGAGATACGCTGCTCCAACGTTCACAAACTATGTATGTGCGAGGTGAAGCTCCACCGAACGCTCGAATCGTGCTGGCTTGTGTGCAGTGGCCAGGTGTACGACATCACGGGGATCGTGACTGCCCACCCCGGAGGTGTGCGCTCAATTCTACGCAAGGCTGGTGGCGCGGACTGTGCGCGGGATATGAAGTTCCACACCAAGAATGCTCGGAAAATGATGGAAAAGTGCTTCATTGGAAAACTGCAGCAGTGCGGCGACGATGCCGACTGCTCTGGAGACGCCAACTGCAGTATTATGTAGACTATGCGAGCAGAACAAGTAGCTCTAGACGTTTGAATTCGGCGGGGCATACAGTTGTCGCGTCGCCTTCTGTCTGTTAAAATTATTATTTTAGAAAGCCGGTAATGTGCGGTGGGCAAGCGGAAATCCTACCATTTATTTGGGTACCGCCACAAGAAAATCACAGCATCTAGACTTCAATCTGCCACTGGCTCGGTTTGTCATCGTTCTGTGACACCAGACTGTGGGTCGTCGCTGCCTGATTAGGTAAACTGCTTCATGAACTCAGTGGCGACAATGCGGCCACGTGCATTGAGCGAAATCTTCATTTCGCTGATCTCCTTGTCGATATCCTCCATGAAGGTGATGATGAAGTCAATGAGCTTGTGTTTGTACATATTCTCGAGGTGCTGGTGCACCACGAGAAAACTCATATCGTAGCCCTCCACGGGCACTCGCCGCATGATGATGAATTGCTCGGCTCGCTGCATGAGGAAGCGGTTGAACTTGTGGCTCAGAATCGTCTCGATCTCATCCGCCTTCTTGATGCAGATGCTCACGCGTGTCGAGTTGATAGACGGCTCGATCAGACACTTTTCCTGCTCGTTACGGCAGATGAGAACGGGGTTCAGAAGTAGTTCCTTGCTCATCCTGTGCGAAAGCGCATACATTTATTAGCTTTCCCCCTTCATTCATGGTTTCTGCTCGGGGGACTTACTGTAGCTCCACTTCGGGCTTGTTGTGGCGCTCTACGGCCTGTGACGGGAAGTTGCGCAGACACAGCGCCGAGTCCAGCGAGCTGCGGATGGAGTTGAGGTATGGGGCGAGTGTGTTGGCCTGTGGGGGCAATAGGGGAGGGTGTTAATGGTAGTGCCGCCCAAATGGAGGAAGGGGGAAGACATACCATGTCTGCTACGTCTGCGGGCAATCTGACTATGTGTGGCGGTTCTCGGGACGTAGCACTTATGATATAATCATTGGGAGCACTTATCCTAAAGAAAGTAGAGAAACTGTTTTAGAGCAATATGGAGTATTTTTTTAAATATCTTTTAGAATACCACTGAACTTAAACAATTATTATTAATCACAGAGCAATTATTGTGAAAACCAGCAAAGATGTCCAAATTATTTGCAAATCGACCGCGCTAAAAAGGGCGTTTCAAAATATTGTGCTTTGCAGTTATTTTGCCGGCATTTTTAGGCGCAGCCCGTCATCGGTGAAAAAAATCATTCTCCTACACTCCGCGCCACATTAGATCACGCACCCACATCGGTTGCTGTAGCTCACTCAATTTTTAGAGTTTGGGCATGCTATTTAGATATGTTGTTCCTATTATCGCACAGAATAGGCTACACGTGCTAACGATTGCGATTTTGCAGTTTACACCAGGGCTCCAATACAAACAATTGATTTTGGCACTGCGGCACAATAATCACGCACGCCTTAGTATACTTAACTCAAGTACAATGTATCGTAATGATAGGTTCAAGTGAACATGAACGTATCAACATTGTATGGGATGGGAGGTGGTTAATAATACTTCAAATTACTTGCGATGCTTTGCTGAGTAGCTTTCCATCGTGTATCTTCAAAAGTATGTCCCCGGTGTTTCACAGCAAGAACGTCTTTATACGTACTGGCAACACGTTACGACACACATTACAGAGCGGTATCATTTTTGCTGTGTATGGGCTCCTTTTTAACCCCTTGGTTCCCAGGATTCGTATCTCGGAACCGCTAAGCGAACGTCGTAACTTATGGCGTATTCTCTATCATGACGTTTGTAAAGTCGCAGACTATCCACATGAGGCTAGGTATATAGATTTGTACAGATGAAATTTAGGCTTAGTCGTAAGATTCGCAACTTTCTTTTCTACAGTGGAGTTTAAAGTCATAACTTCGGGGATTGCAGAAAAGGGAGTACGGAAGATAGTTGGAGTCTGAACCCAATCATTTCAGAAATTAGGAGACAAAAGGTACGACGGTTCAGGGAAGTTTATTTTATAACAACATTCCTGATCATTGCGTTTCTACAGGTCGAACTCACTGTCGTCCTCGCTATGCTCCTCAGCATCACCACGCAGCTCGTCGTCCGCCTCGCCCTCTTCTTCACGAAGCAGCTCACGTCGTGTTTTCTTGCGCACACCGGTTTTCTTTCCAGGGCGCCGGAGGACAATGCGCTTGCCCAAGGTAGGTGGGATGGCGAACCCGCACTCAAAATCATCGTGCCATATCTGGAAGCAAGTCTTCATCGTACCTCTGTACTCACGTCTTGCTTTTGGACATAGGTAGCACTTGGCGTCGTCTATGGAACAGTTCTCACAGTAAGGGGCTGTCAGAAACGACTTCTTTCGATCACCGCGGAGCAAAGCGCATACTTTGCAAGATCGCTGGCGCCGTTTTTGGACTTCAGATACTGTAACCCAGTCGTCGAACTGGATTAGGGAATGACTAACGCGTTTCCGTCTGCGCTTTTTGCTTCCGGGTGAAGGTGTGACCGCCACTCCTGCGAAATCATGTTCCTTCAGCTGAAGTAGCTGGCTGTGGAGCACAGCGTACTATTCACCACGCTTCATCGCCGATGTGTTCGCCAATTTACACGCGGTCTTGTGTGAGATGTAGGAATTCACCATTACCAAATCAATGAGACCTAAGAATAGGCTCTTGTAATATTTTGCAAAACGAACCGACGTCTGGATCGAAAAGGCTTGGAGGCGGAGTTGGTCATGCATGTCCACTCTGCCCATCCATTCTTAGAAATCGTTGACTGCCCTTGGACACGCCACCGTCGTTGCCCCTTCTCCTTTCACGTTGCGGTTGATGATGGATGCTGTCATCACTGACCCTGTACACCGGTAGTGGACCGGTTTACGATCCCACCAGTGGAAGGCGATCATGTTTGACACAGTCAGAGGGCGTAAAAACGTGAACGAGCCCCGCGGGATACTTCTTGGCCGGGTCTTTCGTCGCTCGACAATGTTGCGGTCATACCAGAGTCGCCTAGTCATTATCATCCCCACGACGTACACGTGCATCGATAGCAGCTCAATAGCTAACGGGATTGATGAATAATATTGGTCTATCGTGACTGCGGGAAAGGCTTGGCGATCGTTTGCGAGCACGACCTTGAAGTTGTGAATTACTACTGCAGCTCCCGTCTGGTGATCAAATGTGCTTCGCGAGCTTTCATTTTACCAACGTAAATCTCGAATCTATAAAGTTACGACAAAGCAGAACGAGGTCAGCCTTAAAGTCGTAAGTTACATCATTGAAAATTCAACAACAAAAAATAGAATCACCTGTGGCAGTACGCCATCTTGCTGTCACACGTCATAAACATTTTGGAGTCGTATCTGTGCGGCTAGTCCGGCATGAACATCCCGGTAATGTTCCGTTAAGAGGTCGCTGGGAGAACGCCCTCATCGAGCGAAAAACCTGCAGGCAGCGTCCAACCGGCCAGGTAACGCTCTTGTAACTTCTCGACAACCGGACGAAGCTTCCTCAACTTGTCACGAGTCTGATCGCTTTCGTTATCCACGAAATGCAAGTCTCGAAGAACGTCTTGGCATCTATTCCGTGCCATATATCTGCCGAAGGGCCCGGCGGGAACGACACCGTCTTCTGTCATGGACCAGTGCTGCGCAAATCGCCGCTGTGAAGGGCACAGCATATGTGCTACCAGCAGACCAATCACATGGAGAAGCTCGTGCGTTCCGTAATCTGGCTTCATTCGGAGCCGACGTCGTATTTGCTTCACCGATTCCGTTGGCGTCCCTCGTCACTCGGTCTGCTTCGCGCGCATCCGCTCGGCTCTGGGGGGGAGGTCTTGCTGCAAGCAGTAACGGTTCGTTTCTTCGCAAATGTTGACCCACCTAGCCTTCGGTGCAAAGCAAAAGAAGGGGTGAATTGCAGAGCTTCCGTAGGTCAGCAACTGGTTGTGCTTCTTCACCGGTAAGACCCGGGTATGCGTTCGCGAATTCGAAGTTCGATGAAGGTGGCGTCCAACGTATTGCCCGAAAACTTCTTGTCTTCTTGCGAGGGCTTCTCGGCTTAGTCCTTCATCGTCTCCTAGTCTTAGCGAGGCCAGGAATGCCTCGTCCAGTTCCGGTGCATCCGTATCCGAGATGACATCGTCATCTTCATCTATTCCTCGGAGCTCCAGAGGATCGTCATCATTGTCTGCTATTGCATCACCGTCGCTTTCTCCCGAGCTCAGCTGCTCGTAATCACTTGGGCTCTCGTTCTCCTCCATAAAGTTTAAATCATGCTTGAACTGGCGTCGCCGGCGATGTTGCTTGGTTATAAGCTCATCTAGCTCCAAACTTTCTGTTCCCGAAGCGCCTGACAAGTGCTGCAATTGACTTGCCCCTTCCAGTACATCCGGCTCGGAAACATCTCCCTGAAGGCCAACTTGCGGAAAGTCAAATGCACGAGCTACAGCTCCCTGTGATATCGCCACTTCACTCGGTGTTGGGGATCCAAACAATGCATCCATTGTGTGTTGGGAAGAGCTCCACGTTGGTGTTGACTTGGGACGCCCGCACCAAACTCTCGGCTTGCACTGCATCTTCACGGGCTTGCCCTTCACGTTGGTCCCCAACCTCTTCCTCACTATGGCGCTGGTTCTCGTGGCTCTCGTCGTTTCTATCCGCTTCATCCTGCAACGATCATCAGTCTTAGTCTTACATTCTACTCAGTATTGCAAATGAACAGCTCACCTCAGCTACCAACAATCCAGCCTCAATGACATGCGCCACTACGGCAGCCTCACCAGCGTAGAAGTCGACTCCAACCGTGCCATCTGTCGAACTACCAGGCTTCATGTAGGGTCAGTCGGTCTCGAGGCCCTTGGGACGTCTGGAACCCCATCCCACCGCTCGTAGCTGCCTCCAGAGATGTCAAAAGTCGACGTAACGGCAGGTTTCTGGAGTCCAGTGGATCTGATGCGTGCCATCGGGGAAATTCTGGAATGATGAATGCATCAGCCGCGAGTCGGACCCGACGCCTTTACATAACCTAGCCCTGTCCGATTTCTGAAAATGCCCGTGTGGCCTCCAGCAGATTATTCTTTGGGCAAGAAAAAAGTGACTTCATTGAAGTATTGGTTTTCTTTTTCCGAGCCATTTTCTATTGCTCGAAGGTTTTTTGTCGTAACTTACGACGTACGATTTCGTAAAGCCGTAAGTTATGACGTGAGAAGCAAGGGGTTAAAAGAAATGGAGACACGCCTTCAAAATACCATCACTAAACTAAACATAATCTTCAGGGAGATGAAAGCACTACACTGATTTGTTGTACACGCAACTAGCGATGCGAACTTTAGCTACTTTGAAATGGCATAGCTTGTTTAACCCCTTTATTACCGCGAATTCGGGTCACGACCCGCCTTATTTTACGTCGTAACTTACAGCACACAATTATCTAGGTGTTTGTATTAGCCCGTCCTTTCCACTCGGCCGATCATTGAGATGGGACTATAAGTTATGAGAGGATTCGGATTTCTACGTCGTAACACTTACGACGTACCTCAGCATTGCTAGCTTACAAGTTCGCAGATACAACTTAGCCAATCTTATATGATCGGGCTTACAGCCCACAAACACAGCTATAACCGGAGCTACACAGCAACCAAATGAAACTCAACAAAATGCATTAGCATTGCTAAAAACGGTACGAAAGACCCACTATATCTCTTCTTCTCCTCAGACAGGATTTCCCGGCGAGTCTTCTTTCGTACTCCAGCGGCCTTGGGGGCACGGCGCAGAACGACACGCTTACCCAGGTGACTCGGAATTGACACGCCACACTCGAAGTCGTCGTGCCAAACTTGAAAACACGTGGTATCCGTACCTCTGCGTGCCTTGGGACAGAGGAAGCACTTTGGATCACCCTCCGAGCAGTCTTCGCAGTAGTAAGTAGTCTGATAACTATTCTTCTGCTCACCTCGATACAGAGAGCACACCTTGCAGGAGCTCTGGCGCCGCTTCTGAATGCCCGAAACGATCTCCCAGTCATCCAGCTGCTTGTGGACGTGGGAAGTGTTGCGGCGACGCTTGGGCGCAATCGGAGACGGTGTGGGCGCTGCTGTTTTGAAGTCGTCGTCCGTGAGCTGCGTGAGCTGTCTGTGCAGCATGTTGTACCTGTCCACGCGCTTTATAGGGGCGACACCGTCAATGCGACAGGCATCCTTGTGTGTCAGGTAAGCGGTTTGCGGTCCCATCAGTGGCATGCAACCATAGTGAGCACCGCAACAGACCGTGAGAACTTGAATGACCCGCGCTCTTCTGTGGCTGGTCGTGTCTTCCGTCGTTCAACGATGTGCTTGTCGAACCCCAGCCTCGACGTCATAATTGTTCCAATCATGTAAATTGACATGGAAAGTAGCTGGACGGCGAGCGCGACGGAGGTGTAGAAGCTGTCTATAACAATGATACAAAAACCGGGGTCGTTCTCATCTAACACAGCCTACAAATTTCGAATTACGGCCGCTGCGCCTGTCTTGTGATCAAATGCCTGACTTGCACTTTCATCGTTTTGGCGCTTGCCTACATATATCTCGAATCTAAAGTCGTAAGTGACAACATAATGCAAAACTTTTAAATAAACAAAGCGCACCTGTGGCAGTAAGCAGACACTGCGTCGCACGTCATGAACATATTGGTGCCATAGCGATGCGGCTTGTCGGGCATAAACATTCGAGTACCGTTGCACTTGGACGTTGCAGGAAGCACATCTTCATCGAATGAGATGATATTAGACACCGACCATGCAGCTAGGAATTTCCTTTGAAGAACGTTAACGACAGCTCGCAGCTTCCACAACTTGTGTCTCTTGTTTGCTGTCTCATTGTTGCAGAAATGAAGGTCTCGTAGGATAGAAGTACAGCGATTTCGAGGAGTAAAATTGCCAAATCGCCTCACAGAAAGCGCGCCATCGTCAGTCATAGCCTAGTGATCTGAAAACGGACGGGTAGGGCTGAGCACAAGAGCTACAAATAGACCCGTGACACAAAGAACTTCGCGCGGTACGTAATCAGGTTCGACTCGGATGCGGCGGCGAACATCCCTAGGCGTTTAACCTGGTACGCTGCGCCCTTCACGAATAAGCCGTGCGCGTTCTTGACGCGCCTTTTCATCGAGGTGTGACCTTTTGTATCGGTTTGTTTCGCTCGTGATGAATGTCCACAGGTTCGTCGGTATGAAATAGAATAGCAGTTCCACTGGTAAGGTCTTCTTAGAACGAAGCACTTCCACTGGTCTAGCCGTTTGATCCCTTATACCCTTGAACGCGTTGCTGTCGGTTTCATACTCGGAGGATACAGGGGTCCATGCCATGGAACGTAGTGTCTCTGTGCTCATGTCTTCGATAGATAGGGAACTACCCAAGCAATCAATAAACACTGCATCCATAAAAGGCGCCACTTCTTCATCGGACGACAGGTCATCGTCAACTTGCCTGAGCACAAAATCACCATCGTCGTCTGATTCACAGCCATCCGACTCCGAGTCCATGCTCTCGTACTCATCTACATTGTCATCGTCTTCATGACGTTCATATCCTCTTGTAGCAAGCCACAAACTACCTCCGAGTTTGTTTGTGCCACCGCGGTGACGGTATCTCCAACAGCACCATTTTGACCGACGCATGCCGATACATCCGGGTCTTCCCCTCCAAATATATCGTCTATGGTATTTGCCGACAGCGCAATACTTGTGTCTATCTGCAAAAACCTCGTTCTCTCGTCCTCTACGTGCGGGCTTGTGGCGCATAGCGGGCGTCCGCAGCTTCATCGCGTTTTTTTCGCTCTCGGATTCGAACAATGCATCAACGGTGTTTGCTGAGAGGGCAACACTCGTGTCAATCTGAGACGCTGTTACCCTCTCACACACCGCAGGATCGTCTGGCTGATCGTCTTTACTGTGGCCCTCTTTGTCGTCGCTTCCACGTTTATCTTCAGCGCCGATGATGCCCTGTTCAAGCGCATATTGTACTACCGCGTGTTCTCCTGCGCGTACACAACACAAAACATGTATCAGATACACTGTAGTAGAATAACCACGAAAGCCTTACCCACGAACATGTTCACACCCTCGACGCGTAGTTCCTTGCATCGTTGGGGGAGTAGTATGAGTGCAAGTTGGACAGCCGCGTTGGCCTCTTTGACGTCCATCCGACACGCACGAGCTGACGCCATAGATGACCGAAGTCCACATCTCGCACGTCGATTGTTGATAGCGCCTCCGCTTGAGCTTTTGACTGCTTGCTTGTTCTGACTGGCATCTTCACTCGAGCCCGCAAATTCTGAACTGGTGGAGTATATCCACCACCCACCAAACGTACGGTTCCCAGACAGTGGGACTGTGGTGTAGTAGAACACACAAATATCGTCAGATGTGGATTCCTTACACAAACCACAACGAATCGCCGAGTTAGGTCGGCGGTTGTATGGCCTGCGCAGAGGGTGGTCCCCTCGCGGTCCGGCCCTTCCGGGACAGACGAGTGGCTCGCTTCCACTCGGTTCCGACTAACCAAGTCAGATCACTTCCGAGGCTCCGCCGAGTTTGGTTCGGCTGAGCTCGTTCACAACCCTGTGCCCTCCACCAAAGGATGGACGACGGCGCGCGAGCGCTTTTACAGGTCACCGAGCGCAGAGGCTGCTCAGCTAGAAGTGTTACGGCACCCGGGCTATCCGACGTACCGGCCCGCTGAGTATGCGGGACTTTCTTTCGCGCGTAGCGAGACTTTGTCCTACCCGGACCGACCTAATCTCTTGGCGCTACCAGTCAATACCCTACAAGCTATGCCTCTCGAGTATTGACGGCAGGCATAATCCAGCCCTATGCAGGGACTTACCGGAAAAGTGTACACGTGTCTTGGACTAGGAAAATTCTGCTCTGTTATCTTCTGGGAGCCTTTTCGGCTCCTCCTATTTAATCCTATGCTTCTCATACAAATATCTAGTGAAATGTAGTCGTTTCGGATCTCTACCGACTCTTCAGGCGGCCGTTGAGCTCAGCGGCTATCCGGATAGCATATCCGGACAGATCGCCGAGTACTTACCGTGATCCTTGGCTCCTAAGCTCTGGGTTATCAGACCAAGCCGATTCTTGACCTAAAGTAGGTCGGCGTATGGTCGAATCTGGAAATCCCTACACCACAGGACTGTATATCCAACCACCGCCTTTTTCTCCCCTGTCGCGGGCTACCTTGCCAAGCTTATATATTTTTTGCCGCGAAACAGACTTGATTTAAGTATTGGATCGCCGCGTCTGAGCCATTTCCTGTTTATCTTACAATTTATGTCGTAAGTTACGACTTAGTGTTTTCGCTACGTCGTAAGTTACGACGTTGGTAACCAAGGGGTTAACCCTTTCAACCCGATGGCCTGTATAATATGGCTTAGCAAATCCTATGGAAAGGATAATCCTCTGATCTAAGTTGTATATATTCAGCCCAGGGATCAGGTTATACTTGTTTTTTGTTTGGGCGTAGATTTCTTTTCGCCTGCCGCTGCCACACGCCATACAATGATCAAGTCAATGGGTTGCGCAGTTTTTGTCTGCTTCGCAAAAAAAGGCGAGGGACGAGAGCGCTGTCTCTGTCCAACCTTTTGGATAATTAGCTTCTATAGGTCGGACCCACAAATCTAATTATATATCACAGGGCTTTTTGAGTGGCCAGCGAGCTTCTCTTGTTTCAGAATTCCCACTCCGCGAATTCTGAATTCGCAGAGATGAAGACAATGGGTGCTGCGCGCGAGAAACGTCGAGCCGAGCGCATCGTCGAGGGCGGGACGCCAGCTTGGCACTACATCTGGGCCCGGCTGAAAGCGAGCGGATGGACACACAAGAAGCCCCCAGCAAGCTCTATCGAGACGAGGTGGAAGTTTATTCCGCCTGGAGGAAAAGAAAGCGGAGTCGAGGGCAAGGACTACTTTTTGGGTGAAGATCGCGTGATCGCACACTACGCTGCAGCTACGAGGCCTAATGCTTCTGCTATTGCTATATCGTAACTAATCAACATTTGACTTTCCACCTGCAGTACAATCAACGGCAGCTGCCCAAGCGCTGAGCTCTGCGTGGGCTGCGAAAGGTTCGTGGGATCTTAATTGCCTGCGTTCGTCTATTCTATAGGAAACTATAACATACGTTTTATGCAGGACCTGTGCCTAGAGGCGACGGTGCAGGATTGACGCCCCCAGTTGATGAAAGTGAAGCCCCAAACGTAAACCCCTCTTTTCAAGTTTCCCCTCCCGCTGCTACCTCTAACTTGACTGGTTCCCCGCCTCCAACAAGCCGAGAGGTGAATGCAAGCGATGGTACGGGAACCACAGGTGGACGTGCCTGATTGGCAACCTAACCACGTGTGTATGATGTGTTGCAGGTGACATCGAATCCGGAAATGGCACATCCAGTGATGACTCTGAGGAGGATGAGCTCGAGTTGGTACCAAGACGCGCAGGTGCTTCGGCCTAGGCCCACTGCGCCTACAACGCAAGGGGTCTCTCTTTTCGGATCTTCAGACGAAGATGATAGCGGTGGCAAAGCTACTGTGCTCGATGATGACGGCGGAGATCCTGACTACGTATAAGAAGGTATCCATGTATTTATCCTGTATATACAACATGTGTGCGCTTAAGTTGAATATAATGTGTTGTATTTGATGTGTTATAGCCAGTAGCATCATGTCTAGTGATTCGGAGGATGATATCAATAAGATCGAAGAAGGACATAACCCTGACGACTTCGCTGGTTTTGAATTTAGCAATGAGACTGTGGAGGACGGCATCGCGGACGAAGACGACTCAGACGAAGAAGGTGAAGGCGCTGTTGCTGCGATTGGGCGTGGCAGTGATGATGAAGAGCGTGATAGTCAAGAGGAGGGCCCCAACTCAGCTGAATCCATTGCGGAACGCCACTTTGCCGAGAACGTTTTGGAGTCACTCGGTGGTTCAGACAAGCTTTTGGCTGGCACTGGTATGAGCAAACAAGGCTTGGCGAAGCTACGAGAGCATAGCACCACTGGATGGACGGTTCCGGATATGCCTGATGTTCACGAGTTCCTGCAAGCACCGTTTCAAGTCGTGGGGGAGGAGAATAGCTATCCTGAGTTGAGGAAGAAGCCATTTGGCCCTACACCAGCAATGATGTGTGGAGATTCGCCCCTTGCTCTTTCCTTCTACTTCTTGCCAGTGGCACTTTGGCAGCACATTGCAGCGTGTAGTAGCAACTACAAGCACGAGCAGCTCGAGGCACGCGTGGAAGCATATATTGAGCGCCGGAAGCACATGCAGCGACGTTGACCTGCGTACAAGACGCCGGTGATATGCGCATGAGTCTGATGTCAGTTAAACCCATACTTCACATGAACAATGCGTGTTTATTGGGCTTTGGTTGGCTCGGACCGTACAGCCCAATCGCGAACAACTTTCAAACCATTGGAAACGCCCGGACGAAGGAGCGATATCTCAAGGCAATTTTACTCACGTTCTAACACGCGATCGCTTTATGGAGATATTCCGCAACCTTCACTTTTCCAGCAATCTCGACCCGCGGGCCAAGGCCGACAGGGCCTGGAAGATCTGGAAGGTGGTACATGTGCTGCAACGCACGTTTCGACGTGGATTCATACCCCCCGCTGAGCTTGCTTTTGACGAAGCAATGCTTTCGTCACGCTCATCGTTCAACCGAACGCGGGTGGACATGAAAGACAAGCCATGTAAATGGGGCACGAAGCTGTTTATGCTCTGCTGTGCGCGCACAGCCTATTGCATCAGGTACGCAACGCACAAGTTGGATTTGATAATTTGTATATATATATATATCATGGAAATGCAATGTTGTATATGTATGCTGTATACTTCAGGTTGGAGGTCTACCCGGTCTACGTTGGAAAGAAGCAACACATTGACGATGCACCTTCAGTTGATAAGAAGTCTGGGTCTGCTGCGGTAGTACGCAGCTTGAAAGCAGCCTTCCCTGAGGGTCAAGACAAGGGTTTACGTCTCGTGGAGATCGATCGATTCTATACGAGCGTTGGGCTTGCAATCCAGCTGCTGCTGATGGGATTTTACACTGTCGAGACAATTATGACGAACCGAATTGGTTACGCCACGAGCATCAAGGAGAAGAAGAACAACAGCAAGAAACGACTAAAGAACATTATGCGAGGAACTTTTACGTTCGTTCGTTCGAATCAAGTGAAGCAAATGGCGGCCATCAAGTGGTGGGATAGAAAACCAGTGTTTTTCCTGTGTACTGGGAGTGATCTTGCGTTGGAGATAGTGTCGAGAAGAGAGAAGACGGGAGAGCAGCGTGAAGTGCCCGAAGGCTGTCAGGAATTACCACAAGTACATGGGCGGAGTTGATGTACATGATCAACTCCGTCTGCAACCGTTATTCCCTCGCAGCGGGCAGTGACCTTCCTAAAAAAAGTACAAGTCGCTGTTTTTCGGGTTAGTGGATCTTAAAGTTGTCAAACGGTTACCATACATCGGGCGTACCCAGGCTGTGAAAGGAACACGCCCCTTTGACCCACGTCCCAGTACATCCGCAAGCTGCACTAGGAGTTCATCCACCTGAAGAACGCGTACGAAGGCAACACGCTTGGGGCTGGAAAGTATGTGCTATTTCCGCTGTACGTGGTAAACTAACCTGTACATGAGTGCGTTCCACAGATCAACCTCCAGCACCAATCTCAACCGAGAATTCTGCTCAAGGCACCAGCGCATCCGATGCAGGTGTGACCACGGAGCGTGCTATTCATTCCGCCAAGCATGTGGATGAGTGACGAAACCACTCGGGACAACTGAAGCGCGTGCAGCGTAACTGCAAAGTGTGTTCCTTGCTACGGTCAGACGGAAAGCGTGGCGGAACGACGACATACTTCTGCGATGCATGCTTTAGCGGGCTGCCTGTGTATCTGTGCATGAAGCCGAAACACACCATGGATGAAGAGCTGCGTAGCTGCTGGGATATATGGCAAAACAAGATCAATAATGGCACCGATATACCGAACAACCTTCAGGGCAAGATACGACTACAGCAGTCGCCCGCTAAACGACGCCGCCCCTCGTCGGAAGAAGAGAGAACTTCAGAGTTAGCATGCAAATGTAGCTTCCAGGTTTCGAGTCTAATCGAATGAATACTAGCATTGCCTTTCCAATTGAGCTCTAGTTTTTATGGGGGTTGGAAAGACGCATTATGGGATTGCATCCGTACCTCAACTTTCTGTATTTGACCTGAGTATTGACCTGATCTGCATCGTCTGGATCACTGCTATTGTCGATTTTTGACAGAATTATTGAGATTCTACAGCGGCACGCTCAGGTTCTGTACTCATATAGCGAGATGAAACGCAAGATGATCGCACATGAGCAGTGCACATACAGCGTAACAGCGCTGTATGTACTACGTTTAATGCAGCTTGTACAGCGTACTGGATCCCCATCAGCAGCGTCTACCCTCCTCGCCTATTCACTCACAATCTCGCCCAACCCTTGGGGTACCGTATTCCTTATGTGATTGGCGACAGTCAAATTCTTGAGGTGGTCCAGCCTTTCTGCCAGCATAAAAGATACCTGCATAGAAAAACTATTTTACATGCTCAAAATTATATTGGTCGCCAAGCACATAAAGCGCGACGACACGAAATTTAAATCAATTTGATTGGCTGCTGGATTTGTCGCTAATGACCGAGCGTCGCCAATCACATAAGGAATACGGTATACAAAATTCTATATAAGAATACGCTGTATATACAGATTCACGTCACCCTCAAAATCCTCCGGTTTGATTCAAAGTTTGCAAACTTTGAAGGGGTTGACGTTTTCACTGCACCCGCAAAGCAACACCCTGAGATGATGTGCCGGCACAATCAATTCCTTTTGGAGAATGAAACAAAGAGGAAACAGTCAATACAAGGAAGGACTCCTCTCGTAGCCCTGCGATTGCGGCCATCCTGTTCTGAGATGAAAATGACAGCGATACCTACCGCCCTGCCGGGCAGTGGTAACTTCCAAGCGTCGGCTTGTGCGGAAGTGACAGCGGAAGTGGGGGGGGGGCGCTCTTGCTTCTATTTTGAGCGCCTTGTGACACAGCAAATAGCATCGGAGTCGACCTCTGCGAAGCACATTAACCAGCGGTTCGGCTGGTCACATCTGCGGGTTTGACATCAATTCGGATCTCAAATAATATTTAATATTCCTTAGAAATTCACTTTATGGCC